TGTTTTATTTTGTTTTGTTTTTAATGTAGGCTTCATGCCCAAGAAAGAATGTTAGGTTGAATAGAGTTACATTTAAGTATGTGAGATAAAACTTTATAACACAAGCTTTCCACATTTAGCTGTAGTATTCTTTTCTAGTTACGTTTTCTTAGCAGTCATTTCTTTCTCATTGCTCTGAGTCTCAGGTAGATGTATCTTCTTGGAAGAAGTCAAACATATTAAAGCAAAATGAGACAGATTTATAAATACTGATATAGAAAGGTGTCTATGAAATAGTATATTAGCTATCTTTCTGTTGCTGTTTAACAAATCGCCACAAATTTAGTGGTTTATTTTTATTTATTTTTTTAAAGATTTTATTTATTTATTTGTCAGAGAGAGAGAGAGAGAGAGAGAGAGAGAGAGCAAGCAAGCATAGGCAGACAGAATGGCAGGCAGAGGCAGAGGGAGAAGCAGGCTCCCTGCTGAGCAAGGAGCCCGATGTGGGACTCGATCCCAGGACGCTGGGATCATGACCTGAGCCGAAGGCAGCTGCTTAACCAACTGAGCCACCCAGGCGTCCCGATTAGTGGTTTAAAACAACACAAATTTGGGGCGCCTGGGTGGCTCAGTGGGTAAGCCTCTGCCTTCGGCTCAGGTCATGATCCCAGGGTCCTGGGATCGAGCCCCGCATTGGGCTCTCTGCTCGGCAGGAAGCCTGCTTCCCCTCCCCTCTCTCTCTCTCTGCCTGCCTCTCTGCCTACTTGTGATCTCTCTGTCGAATAAATAAATAAATTATTTTAAAAAAATAACACAAATTTATTGTTTTTGCGGTTCTTTGGGTTAAAAGTATGACACGAGTCTCACTGGACTAAAATCAAGGTATCAGCAGGGCTGCATTCTTTTCCGGAGGCTCTAGGAGAGAATCTGTTTCCTTGCCTTTTCCAGCATCTAGAGGCCACCCACATTCTTTGGTTTATGCTCCCCGCCTTCCCATCTTCAAAGCCAGCAGTCTCTCTGACCCTGTCCGCCATCCAAGCATTGCCATCCAAGCCTCCCTCAAAAAAATTGAAAAATCCAGAACACAGCAGCTGTCTCTACACCTTAAAGAACTGGAGGATCAACAACAAATCAAACCAACTCCACATATAAGAAGGGAAATAATCAAGATTAGAGCTGAGATCAATGAGGTAGAAACCAGAGATACAGTAGAATGTATCAATGAAACTAGAAGTTGGTTTTTTGAAAGAATCAGTAAGATTGATAAACCATTGGCCACACTAATCCAAAAGAAAAGAGAGAAAGCCCAAATTAATAAAATTATGAATGAAAACGGAGAGATCACAACTAACATCACAGAAGTAGAAACAATCATCAGAAGTTATTATCAACAGTTATATGCCAATAAGCTAAGCAACCTAGATGAAATGGATGCATTCCTGGAAAACTATAAACTCCCAAAATTGAACCAGGAAGAAATTGACAACCTGAATAGACGATATCTAGTAACAAGATTGAAGCAGTGATCAAAAACCTCCAAAAAACAAGAGCCCAGGACCTGAAGGATTCCCTGGGGGATTCTACCAAACTTTCAAAGAAGAAATAACACCTATTCTCCTGAAGATGTTTCAAAAAATTGAAGCAGAAGGAAAATTTCCAGAATCTTTCTATGAAGCCAGCATTACCCTGATCCCAAACCAGGCAAAAACCCTACCAAAAAGGAGAATTTCAGACCAATATCACTGATGAATATCGATGCCAAGATTCTCAACAAGATCCTAGCAAACAGGATCCAAAAGCACATTAAAAAGATTATCCACCATGACCAGGTGGGATTCATTCCTGGGCTACAAGGATGGTTCAACATTCACAAATCAATCAATGTGATAGAACAAATTAATAAGAGAAGAGAGAAGAACCACATGGTCCTCTCAATTGATGCAGAAAAAGCATTTGACAAAATCCAGCATCCGTTCCTGATTAGAATGCTTCAAAGTATAGGGATAGAGGGAACATTCCTGAACTTCATAAAATCTATCTATGAAAGACCCACAGCAAATATTATCCTGGGAAAAAGCTTGCAGCCTTCCTGTTGAGATCAGGAACACGACAAGGATGCCCACTCTCACCACTCTTGTTCAACATAGTATTAGAAGTCCTAGCAACAGCAGTCAGACAACAAAGAGAAATAAAAGGTATCCTAATTGGCAATGAAGAAGTCAAACTCTCTCTCTTCGCAGATGACATGATTCTTTATATGGAAAATCCAAAAGACTCCACCCCCAAACTACTAGGACTCATACAACAATTCAGCAACGTGGCAGGATACAAAGTCAATGTACAGAAATCAGTGGCTTTCTTATACGCTAACAGTGAAAATACAGAAAGGGAAATTAGAGAATCGATTCCATTTACTATAGCACCAAGAACCATAAGATACCTGGGAATAAACCTAACCAAAGATGTAAAGGATCTGTACTCGAGGAACTACAGAACACTCATTAAAGAAATTGAAGACACAAAAAGATGGAAGACCATTCCATGCTCTTGGATTGGAAGAATAAACATTGTTAAAATGTCTATACTGCCTAGAGCCATCTGTACTTTTAATGCCATTCTGATCAAAATTCCACCGGTATTTTTCAAAGAGCTGGAGCAAATAATCCAAAAATTTGTATGGAATCAGAAGAGACCCCGAATCGCTAAGGAAATGTTGAAAAACAAAAATAAAACTGGGGCATCACATTACCTGATTTCAAGCTTTACTACAAAGCTGTGATCACCAAGACAGCATGGTACTGGCATAAAAACAGACACAGACCAGTGGAACAGAGTAGAGAGCCCAGATATGGACCCTCAACTCTATGGTCACATAATCTTTGACAAAACAGGAAAAAATATACAGTGGAAAAAAGACAGTCTCTTCAATAAATGGTGCTGGGAAAACTGGACAGCTATATGTAGAAGAATGAAACTCAACCATTCTCTTACACCGTACACAAAGATAAACTCAAAATGGATAAAAGACCTCAGCGTGAGACAGGAATCCATCAGAATCCTAGAGGAGAATATAGGCAGTAACCTCTTCGATATCAACCACAGCAACTTCTTTCAAGATATGTCTCCAAAGGCAAAGGAAACAAAAGCGAAGATGAATTTTTGGGACTTCATCAAAATCAAAAGCTTCTGCACAGCAAAGGAAACAGTCAACAAAACAAAGAGACAACCCACGGAATGGGAGAAGATATTTGCAAATGACAGAACAGACAAAAGGTTGATATCCAGGATCTATAAAGAACTCCTCAAACTCAACACACACAAAACAGACAATCATATTCATAGGTTCTTGGCATTAGGTTGTGGGCATCTTTGGGGACCATTATTGTGCTTAGCATATATAGTAAGTAACAAAAGGAAGTTGCAAAACAGTTTTTCTTGCTTTAATTCCATTTGGATTTGGAAAAATGCGTGGTGGTGAAAATGTGGCAATAGATGAAATCTACTTTAAGAAAACTCTGTATTAAAAAAATTTAACACTGAAAGAGGAAAAAGGCTGACTGTTTTGTTCACTTCACCAAAAGGGTCTCAACATTTTTTATTGTCAGGCAGTAGGATAAAATTCAGTTTACATTCAGTCAGTCAGTGATGGAAGCAGAGTGTGCTCGTGTGTGTACTTCCACACCCTCCCGGAGGTGTTCTCTGGTTTGTGCTGGGTAGTGTTTAACTTCAATCAAGGGAGCAGTTATTCCTTGATCTCTGATGGATAAACACAGGTTAGATCTGGCTTCAAGAATTTCTCTGTATACCATGAACTATACATTTTCCTAATGGTTAATTATTATCACACACAAGGTGTAGTACCACTTAATAATCATAGTTATTTAAAAATAATCATTTATTAAATTAATAGCACTTATTAAATCTATTCAGGTATATGTTTTATTTACATGCTACCCTTCGTCCCAACTTTGAATGTTTCAAAATCTTTCTAAAATAAGCATTAGGTAGAGAGTAATTTCCTCCAGATACACAGATGGCAAACGGTAAGAATTCACAGGCAACCTGGAGTAAACAGATGGGTCTTATATCACTCCTGCTGGTATGGGCTCTTTTCAGAGCACAGTGACCATGCCATATCCTTTGCAGGAAAGTCATAAATTTGGCTTTGGTCTTTTTATGGTTGACACAAACAAAACCTCATTGCCGTTATGTATTTTCATGAGTTTTGGTGCCCTTAAAAATACGAATTTTTGGTTGAAATGCATTGAACATTTCTGTCTGCTTATTTATATTTCTGTCTCTTTATTAAACACTGAATTTCTAAACTGATTGGTCATGATATTTGTACTGTAATTTCATATAGCTCTTTATTATCAAATGGTGGATTTTGAAACAGAAACAGATATTTTAAAACCCCATTTTCTTCAGCCTTTTGTACTATGGTTTCGAGTTGAGGTTGATTTGAGGAAAATACTCCTAGTTCCAATAAATAGAAATCTTTCTAACCTTAATAATGTAATTTTTTGTGTGCATTGCTGAAAACTGTAAATTAAAACTGCTTGAATCTGATACATTACTGAAGAGATTTTAGAAATTCTTTCTTACTTAATTGGTGTTTATATGTTCATGTGTTCCAAAAGCATTTTAAAAGTAACCCTTAACGTGTGTGAAATGAGTAAGAAAAAGAATTTTCAGATTGAACTTCCTTATTTATAATAAAAAAATAAAATCCAATGCCTGACAAAGTACAGCTTAATTGTAGGTAGTCTGGTCTTCCTTTGACGTTACATTAGATGGTCAGCAGGCATTTTTATAAGCTCAGTGGGCAGGCTCAGTCTAGATATTCGACTTTGGCAGGCGGGATATGAAATAGTTGAAATAGTTTCACTGCATATTTATTGTCTAGTGAATGTGCACTTGTTAGAGAGCTGCTCCCCCCGACTTTTTTTTTTAAATCTGAGGAATGAAGTAGCACCGTATGCTTTCATTGCTCTTTGTGCTTACCTGTATTTGCCATCTAGGTCTTTATATACTTTTGACAAAGAAGAAATGATTTGGTGATGGAGTGCTCCCCCTGACCGATGGACTCAAAGAAGAGAAGGTAAAAGCATTTCTTCTTTTACCTTATTCTTCTAGGAAAACATAACAAGCTATTCCACATACGCGTAGCTTCTCTTTGGTTTAATTTTCTCGTTTGTGGTTATTATAAGTAGGAATAGTGATGTTTATGTTGATTGGTAAAGAGAGAAAGATACTATAATAAAACTGATTAGTGATAAGCTTTGTTGCTGGTTTCTTTCTTATGCTTGTAAAAAGGCAGAAAGTGTCTTCATCATTTTAAAGCTTTTGAAGCCATTTTTTCTCACAAATACTATCAGGTCTTCAGGCATAGCTTTATTAGTTATAATCCTCTTCTACCCTTAGAAAATGGGATTGAGTTTGTGGCTCTCCTTTCATATAACCATGGTTATGCCTAATCATAACTGAGAGGAATATTACTTAGCAAAAGCAGAGAAATTTATAGGTATTATATAATAAATAAAGCAAAAGACTTTCTGTGCCTCATTAAAATTAGCATCAGTGTTCTAGAAAAAAGAATGTATCATCAGTGGCAACAGAGGGAAACTTGCTATAAAGGAAACCCAGCGTATCTTAATAGACCTTTTTCTTCAAAGGGTAGGCAGTTATGGTATGGTCATTGTCATGAAGCTTTGTGTCTTGTGTCCTTTGAACCAGAATCATCACATGGATAGAATTCTTGGGCTAGAACATGAGTAAAGCATGAAGGATTTTATTGTTCCTGATACAAATTTGATTCTTAAAAAGCTAAATAACAATTACAGAACTTACTCAGTGTAAAGTAAAATACGGATCTCTATTCCTTACCAAATACTTTTTTTAGCATGTTCAAAACTAAAATTTTGAAATAAGACCCCAACTTGGGACATGTTACAACTTTATTATCTACATTATGATTTAATAAATGGAGAAGGTAGAATCTTAAAATTTTGTGCTATTAACTCTAAAATGTCAAAAAAAATAGTCCAGGTTTTGTTTATTTCTTAGATAGAGATAAGTAATTTGTGGGTTTAGATTATCCTCAAGCCTTGTCTGTAAATAGTTGCTTTATCTCTGCTCCTGTGTCCCAACCAAAGGTAGGCGCTGAGCGATCTGACCAGTCACCCATGCGCTGGTAAAAGATACAGATCTAATGAAATTAGTAAGAAACCCCCAAATACAGTTTTAATTGCAGGACCAGTTAAGCTATTTTTCTTAATGTTTGTAGCTCAACAGAAGCGGAAGGATCCAAAGAAAGAGGCCTGGTCCACGTGTGGCAGGCAGGATCCTATTCTGTAACACCAGAGAGACTGCCAGGCTGGGGAGGAAAGACTGTTCTTCAGGCAGCCCTTGGAGTGAAGCATGGAGTTCTTCTGACTGAAGGTATTGAAAAGAACCTTTTCACTTAAAGGTTCTTTCGCTTAACAAATACTCACTGAAGTGCTAACAGTACCTGTGTGTGTGAGATCAGGTAAGAGAGTTACTGGATATCAGAGATGCTTAACGAAGATTGTTGGAGCCTATACTCTTTGTGTTTTCAAAATATGTTCTTACTCCCTTTGTCAAAAATCAGATTAGTTCTTAAATTTAAGATCCATCATATCTAGCATAAAAGGGAGAATTACAGTTTGTAAATTTTATAGTAATAAGTAATGAAGAATTAACTGTGGAACGATTACCTATTCAGAAACTCTTTTGCTGTGCCTTTGTTCATTAAATGTATCAGAAGAATCATGCTCATACTAGCTAGTGTTTATTACACAACCATGTGTGCCGGGCACGGCACCGGGCACTTTGGACCACCTCGCCGAGTCGTCACAACCATGTTGCGAGGCAGGCCACTGTTGGTGTCCCCGCTTCACAGATGAGGAAGCTGAAGGTCAGGAGGTGAAATGATTTCCCCAAGCCCCCACAGCTCTTGGAGTGTCAGAGTCAGAATTGGGATTCAGAGTCTGATTTCAAAGCTTGCTTTTTACGCTGCTTGCTGTTCTGCGTCAGTACGGTTTTTCTCAGGCATAAACAGCAGCTTATAAGAACATGTAATGAAATCTATAAATCTATAACAGATCGGAACAGAAGCTACAATTTATAGAGAGAGTTGCCTTTAATTTTGACAGCAGTTTAACAACTCAATCATGGCAAATTTGGCTTGAGCCAGGACTGCCATCAACTAATTTCTAAATTTCAATTCCATGAGCATTTATTAAGTATTCAGTAATGCTTTGCTATTTTCTTCGTAGGAACTAAGGGAAGACAAATTCTACAAGGCAAATTTAACTCTGACCTTGGTAATTTTGTGGGGTAAACATGAATTTCTTTCTAGCCTGTTTATTACTATATCACTTTTATTATAATAATATAGAATACTCTTATTATTAGACCAGAATTTGGAAAAAGCTTTATTGCAAAAATGTGAACTATATCCAATCACTATCTGCCCTGGGGGCTTCAAAATATATCATTCTCAAGCACCTGTAAGTGGAATTCTGTTGTTTTATTTACCCTTCAGTAAGATATTTAGGAACCCTTCATGAACATGACCTTTAAATCTCTAGAATCATACCTTAAGTGGGATAACTGAGGGAAACATTTTAAAAATATATGAATAGCCTATCATTGTTCATGTTTAAGCAGTGTCCTGGTTTTAAGTGTCAAAGCTACAGGGTGCCTGCGTCGCTCAGGTCATGATCCTGGAGTCCTGGGATCAAGTCCCGCATCAGGCTCTCTGTTCAGCAGGGAGTCTGCTTCTCCCTCTGACCCTCCCCTTCTCATGCTCTCTCACTCTCTCTCTCTCTCATTCTCTCTCTCAAATAAATAAATAAAATCTCTAAAAAAAAAAACTACAAAAAAGAAATCTTACATAAGTGTGTAGTTTGAAATAGCAAAAAGATCTCCAGTGCTCTTTTCCAGATGAGAAAATGTTACTGATGGAATGTTGGAAATTTTCAAGTTCTTTCTATTCAATTTGACTCTCAGCTCATAATTCAGTGAGGACACTTCATTGAATCACTATTTTTGAGGTATTCCAGGTTGAAAAAAGGGAAGAGTTGTCTGAATATCCATTTCTTTGCTCGATTTCTCTCTCTAGTGGAGTGATACTCATTGAAAGAGCTGGTGAGCTGTTGCAAGTGTATATTGCTGTATCACTCGGGAAGAAAAATTTAAATATTTTAACCAGTGAGCTGATTTTCTCAATACTCTATCCAAACTGGAAATTCCTTAATAAAAGCTCATGTCTTCCTTCTAGCCACTATTGTGTTCTTTCTTAGGTAGATGTTCTGTTAATTTGAGTATATAAATATATTTTATATAAATAATAGGCCAAAGCTAAAGAATGCATTTTTTTTTCATTATCAGCTCAGTTGCTGCTTTGTGGGGAAAAAAATACTACTATAAATCTACTTCATTATTTCTTTATTAACTTAAAAAAAAATGGATGAGTCCCTGGTCACATGGAAAAGAAGGAATAGTGGGCTTGTTTTAGTATTTTTCAAAACCCATGGCTAAGTTGCCCTTGGCCAGCCAAGTTGCCCTTCATTCTAAAGCGAGCTATCATAGCTTTTATCATTGTTTGTTTTTTTTGCTTCGTTTTGTTGTGATTTACTTTTTAAACAAATGGCACCTTAGAAATGCTGTATAGTGCGCAATATATATGATATATAACGTTTAAAATTATACATGATACTGTACACATCACAAAGACATCCATGTCTTATTAACAGTGGTGCTTTCGTACAACCTGGAAGTATAAAGCTGGTTTCTTAGTTTTGGCCAAAATGAATCTCTGGTATTTTTATGTTACGGCATAATTTTCTGCTGCTCTGACTTTTTCAAGTAGCCGTGAATGTTGTAGATGTTAACGAATGTATCTGTTTTGTCCTCTGCTCATTTTATCTTATAGTCACTAGTTTGTCTTTGAACACTTGGAATCTGTTCCTGTAGTAGCCCGCATTGACAGCCATTAGTAGTGGATCCATATAGGACTTTGTAGGATGAGGAGCAAGAATGCTTCATTTGAAAGTACCCACCTGTAGTTGGTAGAAATTCTCACTATTTTTCAGAATATTAAAAGATGGTACTTGTTAAAAGATGAATAAATGTGGGATATTACATGCTTGAACTAAAATCTCTACAACTGCGCTTTTGAAAGTTAAAAACAAAACAAAAAACAGCCCTATTTTGTTAACCTAGAGGAGCCAAAAATTGCTGGTAAGATTTCTAGCTAACTCACTAACTCCCTTTTTTTTTTTTTTTTAAACATTCAGATGGTGAGGTCTACAGCTTTGGGACGCTTCCCTGGAGAAGTGAACCAGCAGAGATTTGTCCGAATAGCCCCATTCTAGAAAATGCCCTGGTTGGGCAATATGTTGTTACCGTGGCATCAGGGAGTTTCCACAGTGGAGCAGTGACAGAAAGTGGCATAGTGTACATGTGGGGGGAGAACTCTGCAGGCCAGTGTGCAGTAGCTAACCAGCAGTATGTTCCAGAACCGAATCCTGTCAGCATTTCTGACTCTGAGACCAGTTCTTTGGTAGCGGTCAGGATTTTGCAGTTGGCGTGTGGTGAGGAGCACACACTGGCCTTGTCGATAAGCAGAGAGATTTGGGCATGGGGTACTGGTTGTCAGTTGGGTCTCATTACCACCTCCTTCCCGGTGACAAAGCCACAAAAGGTGGAACATCTTGCTGGCCGAGTCGTGCTACAAGTTGCCTGTGGTGCGTTCCACAGCTTGGCCCTTGTGCAGTGCCTCCCTTCCCAGGATCTGAAGCCAGTCCCAGAAAGATGCAACCAGTGCAGCCAACTCCTGATTACTATGACTGACAAAGAAGACCATGTCATTATATCAGACAGTCACTGCTGCCCGTTAGGGGTGACACTGTCGGAATCCCAGACGGAAAACCAGGCCAGCACTGCCATCAGCCCCTGCGCTGAAACCCTTGACAGCCAGGGAGAAGTGTTTGAGAACACGCTTGTAGGAAAGGATCTGCCTGTTGCTACTGACACGAATGTTGGAGATGTTCAGACCACGGGTGGTGATGCCATTTCCTCCCAACAAGACGTCGTGGGAACAACTGAAATTTCTTCGGCCAGGAATGTACCGTCGTGCCCTGATACTCAGGCAGTGAATGAGTACATGGCAAAACTCTCAGATCATTCAGTAAGAGAGAACTCAGAGAACGGCGAAAAGCCAGTGCCATCTCAGGTACCTGCTAAATTTTATAATATAAAGGTGTTTCTGGAGTTAGGAGTTTTTCTTTAGCAACTTTAAAATGCTTAAGTCTTGGGTTTGACTTTAAATCTCTTTTATCATGCAATCCTAGATAAGGGAAAACCCGGATTAATCCAAAATTACTCTTTATGTTCAAATTCTACCCTTTAAGAGGTTGAAAGATGTCAAAAGATGTCATGCTGGGCTTTTCTAAGTAGCAAAATCTCATTTATTTTTTTCTAGTCTTTTTCTCCCATGGCTAACTATACTAAATTTTGCTAGGCTCCTGAATACTGTTTCCTCCCCCGCCCCCGAATACTTTTAATATAACTATACATTCACAGAGATTCATCTCACCTGTATTTGTATGACTCCAGATTCTGTAGAGAGTAGTCCTTTCCTTTTTTATCAGGGAAAGTAGCCATGTGGTCAATCCCTCAATTATAGGCAGATTTAAAAAACAAACAAACAAACTCCTGGTGTTACGTGTTGTTTGAATTTTTTTCAGCATATACCTGTAGTCCTTACTGGGCTTTGTTGTGGGACAACGGATTAATGTTTTCTTCATTTTATTTGAACTACTCTCATTTTAAAAACGTGTAAATGGAGAAAAGCTGTTGACCAGTAGCATACAGTAAAGTTTGAGTCTCCCTGATTAAACAAATTATTTTAAAAGGATAATTTGTGTTTTACTCTTCATGTAAGCCTTTCAGTTTTGTTCTTACCAAAACTCTAAGAAAATGAAACAAAACAAAAACCTCTAGTCATATAAGAACTATCCCATGGTGTTTTTTCAGGCCTTTGAAACCACATATCTCTTGATTCTTTATTTTTGTTCTTCACTCTTTCAGGATGAGAACATGGCTTACAGGTATTTTTAGAAACAGTTTTTATTTCACAGTTTACTCATCGAACCTTGTGGATATCTGATTTTTTTTTAAATTAAGAATAAGCTGTTTGGAGAAAGATACTATTAAAATCTAAACACAAAAGTAATGATTTAATAGGAATGTACATAGAACATTCTTAGACTTGAACATGCTTATAAAAATTTGGACTTTGACTTTTTAGAAGTCGTTCTCCTAATTTATTAAATTTGAAGGTAAAAATTTATTGTATACACTTATTTGATTATTAAATAATTATTGAAATTGCATTTTCATTTGGATTTATTTTGTTAAACATGTAAATTTTTGTTGCCTATGCTAATTTTGGCAATGTCTGTTTATACTAAATTTATTTCAATTTTTGTAAATAGTGTCTTAGCTAATTCACTAGGAATTTATATAGTCTAGGACAAGTTTTTTCTCCTCTGACCAGAAATAACTGAGAAAGTATCTCATTTTTGTGAAATAAACCATAATATTGGGCAATGAAGCATATATCTCATAATTGAATTTTATTATTGGTTGACCAGGACTCCTAAAATTATGTCTTTATCAAAATTGCTGGCTCTGTATTTTTGTTTTATTGATTTATTTATGTATTGTTAAACATAATTAAGTAGAGCAGCCAGTAAGAACAATAATTAAAGTTTATTGAAGATAGAATTTTGTGACTTTCCTGTTAGGTAAGAAGGCCCTAAAATATTGACCCAAAAATACCTATCACTGTTTCTGTTATGGGACTTCATACACAAAGGGTGAAAAGAGTGATGTTACTTCTCAGCAAGCTTTTAGGGAACTGTATCACCAAGGAATTAATAGGCTTTGTATTTATCTTTCGCTTGATATGGTATATTTGTTTGTTTTGTTGAATATTTTAATTAAAGACTCCTTTGCTCCTCTGAATTTAGTATTTAATTCAACAAAATGTATTGAGTACCTACTGCAATCCAGGTACTGTGCAGGAAACAGGGATTATTTCCTTTAAGAGAATCAGAAGTCAATGTTAAAAAATTTGTTTTCATTTAGCTTCCAGTTCAGGACAAATTAAGGAATGTATATATACCTTTTGAGACCTTTGTACAGCCTAGGAAGGAAATTTTTTGTAGTGACTTATGCTGATAAGCTAAAATCTTTTTTTGTGTGTTTTTAGTAGTTACCTTTAATGACTTTCCTTTAAGTAAACAGTGGTGCTTGACTGCTCAGAGTTAAGTTTCAGCTGATCTTTTCCTAAGATACTAGACAACTTTAGTTTGACTTTCAAATAGAGCTATGAATAACACAAAGAACATTGGTCCCAAATGTTTAATTATTAACCTGCCACATTTACTTTATCATAATGAGAGCAAAAGTAATCCTTCAGCTGACAGCCCGTGGATCATGGAAAATAACACATTCATGAGGCAGGAAGGGCTTGAACTTGAGAGCATAACTTGGGGACAGTTACATACTGCCTATGCCTATACATAACTATAGGTCAGAAGTATAGCTTACTTTTCTGCCTGTATATATAATAGCTAAAGTACTTTTTCTTAAACATTTTAGGAAAAGCCTTTTTTAGATATTTTTTTTCTGATATTTCTTAGTAGCAACCTGTAAATTTTCCTAAAAGCGATCAATAATATTACATTTACTTATTTTTTTTTTTAATGTACTATTAACCTTTTCAAGCTTATATCCAGGGCTTTTATACAGTGCACCTCATATTAAACGCTATGTTTTCCAGATCGTTCTTCCCCTCTCCCCTACTGTCCTTAATTTTATTAAAGCAGCTGGGGCTTCTGTTTGAATAGCTTGGAAAAACACAACACTCAAACAAAAGGAAGTACTTTTGATAAGGAGCTGTAGTTTGAGTCCTCATTTCCATGTGATACGTTAAATCCAGTACCTAGAGCAGATAATACCTTTAAGTTAAAGATAGAAGCCCTTGTTTCAGATTCTTAAATTTGCAAATAGTGATGGTTTTTGTTGAACTTTGTTTTTATTGATTGCTTGTTGTATAAGGGATTACATTTTTATATACTTTTTTATGTGTGTATATTTTAGCCTCTTGTAGAAGAAGCAGTTCCTAATCTTCACAGCCCACCAACCACAAGCACCTCAGCCCTAAACAGCCTAGTAGTCTCTTGTGCATCTGCTGTTGGTGTGAGAGTGGCTGCTACATACGAAGCTGGGGCCTTGTCTCTTAAGAAAGTTATGAACTTTTATAGTACGGCCCCTTGTGAACCTGGAACTCAGGCAGGCAGTAGTTCCATAGGCCCAGAAGGTCTGAAAGATAGCAGAGAAGAACAGGTTAAACAGGAATCCATGCAAGGAAAGAAGAGTTCAAGTCTTGTGGATATCCGAGAAGAGGAATCAGAGGGAGGCAGCCGGAGACTCTCCCTCCCTGGCTTGTTGTCTCAAGGTAAGGAGATAACCAGGTGAAAATCCAAGATGCTCCTTGACATCATGTGTTATATTATTATAAATCAGTAGCTCTCCTAATTGCTAACTGATATATTCGAATGTCAACAGTTACTTAATTTTGGTGACTTGGGTGGTTTAAAAAGAAAGTTACGTATTCCCCTGCTTTAAAAATAACCGTAGAACGTAATTTTTTTGTGATGTCTGCTTCTGCTTCTGAACCTTACTATGAGTCTTATTTTATTCTGGAATGCAGTGTTAGCCTCCGTGTATCCTAGTTTGGGGCGTGTAACCCAGAGAGATGAAGTTGCAGATGTGACTGTGGTTAAGGGGGGGGGTCTACCGTATTTGACCTCAAAGTGGAGATAATTTAAACTTCAAGAAGAGGAAAGTTCATTTTCTGATACAAATAGCAACAAACTGCTTAGAATATTAAGACTGTTACCCAGTTGGTTCTTCAGCATTTCTCGGTTGGTTTAGGAATCTCAATTATCTACGCTTTTGCTTCTCAAACTGTGACCTACAGACCAGAAACAAGAGCAGCAGCATCTGGGAATCTGTTAGACATGCAGGGTCTCAGGCTTCCCGCCAAACTTACTGTATTGGAATGTGCATTATACCAAGATTCCCGGGTGGCTGGTGTGCACATTAAAGCTGGAGCAGCATTGGATTTAGACCAGGAGTTGGTAAACTTTTTCTGTAAACAATGAAAGAGAAATATTTTATGATTAGCGGGCCATGTGGTCTCTATTATATAAATACTCAATTTTGCCATCGTTGCTTAAAAGTAGCCATAAGTAAAAACAGAAATGAGTAAGGCCATATATTCCAGTAAAACTTCATTGTCAGTGGGCTCTGTTTGACCTGTGGTCTATGGTTACCAGCCCTCAGTCTTTACACCATTTTGTACAAAGCTCTAAAATTGGGAATCCCACCTTGCACTTCTCCTTACTTATGGCTCTGTTGTGCCACGGAGTACTTCTGTTATCCTGTCTTCTATTTCTCATTGCCACTAGATTTTTAGCTCGCAAATAAAACCCTTAGTCTTGATTGACTGTGTGTCTATAAAAAGAAAGCCCATGGATTCTGTCAAGTCTGAAGGAGGACTTTGTGCCAAAATTGTCTTATTGTGAAATGTCCTTTCATATTTGTAGCATAAATATATTTGAGATCTCCTGGAACCACAAATGTGGAATATTGATTTTTGTTACGTCATTAGGTCATTGAAATATGCAATACCGCTAATAGATTTTTTTCCTTTTGGTTAAATTTTACTTAGTGACCCAAAGTATCTTTATAAAAATTTTACATGCACTCTTTTTTTTTTTTTAAAGATTTTATTTATTTATTTGAGAGACAGAGCATGAGAGGGGAGAACATTAGAGGGAGAAGCAGACTCCCGGAGGAGCTGGGAGCCTGATGTGGGACTTGATTCCGGGACTCCGGGATCATGACCTGAGCCAAAAGCAGTTGCTTAACCAACTGAGCCACCCAGGTGCCCCTACATGCACTCTTTTTCTCTATTTTAAAGTTACCTGAAATACATCTTTGAGGGAACTTCAAGTAGGTTTATTTGAGTGTCTGTGTGTACAAATGGATGGCACATTTATCAGAAAAGATGTTGATTTTAGCCAGTGATGATCACTTTTTTGTGCCCTCAAGTTAATGACCAAGTCTGCACTTAAGCGACATTTGATGATTTTCTTTCAAACATATCCTGCCACCAAATCAGTAACAACATTTACATAGTGTTGTATGTCATTATTATAATTTTAAATACTATAAATGATTATAAAGATATTTTAAAACATTAAGTCCTCTATAAAATAATTTGAAATAGGCACAATTCAAAAGTTATTTAGTACTTATATTCATAATCTTTTTCCCACATAGAAACTTGAAAATTTTATATCTAAAGTAAGTCCTTTATTATCATATTTAAAATATGTTTGGGGGCACCTGGGTGGCTCAGTGGGTTAAGGCCTCTGCCTTCGGCTCGGGTCATAATCCCAGGATCAAGTCCCACATCGGGCTCTCCGCTTGGTCGGGAGCCTGCTTCCCCCTCCCCCCTCTGCCTGCCTCTCTGCCTACTTGTGATCTCTGTCAAATAAAGAAATAAAATCTAAAATAAATAAATAGATTAATTAATTAATTTAAAAATATTTAAAATATGTTTGAACTTAGACCTTAACTTGGAAAGTCTTAACTTTTATCTCTGCTTTGAAATGGGAAAAATATTTGTCAGCCTTAGCGAAGTATTTTGTTAAGCATGTTCTGTAGAATACAAGTTCCGTAGGATGTCACAAAGACATTCTGTATAATATAAATATTATACAGAAAGGGATTCTGTGGCCAAATGCTTGGAAGTGGGGCTAAGTTAAATAAATCTAAACAGGCCTTTTAATTGCGGGACTTGTCAGGGCCTTTAGCTTGCTAATAATGTGTGTATGAATCTACAGGGCAAGATAGTGTGGAGGATAGAATGTAGTAGGCAGCATTCATACCAAACTCATCTCACTATTAAATCCCCATTTTTGCAGAGAACCTATAGAATATGCTTCACAAATACCACGTTAGTGTATTTGTTTGAAAAATCAACATCTCGTCAAAATGATATCTTTTTTACCCACTCGTCTACTCCCTCACTCCATCTCTGGTTTATTTTCAGTTTCCCCCAGGCTCTTAAGAAAAGCTGCCCGGGTGAAAACACGGACAGTGGTTCTGACTCCTACATACAGTGGAGAAGCAGATGCACTTCTGCCTTCTCTGAGAACAGAGGTGTGGACCTGGGGGAAAGGGAAGGAAGGACAGCTGGGACATGGTGATGTTCTGCCTAGGTGAGTGCTGGCTTTGTTCACTGTTAGAAGTTGGCTTTAACAAATAAATCTCTCTCCTGTGAAGGAAATGTCATGTTAGCCTTAAATTTGTACCCAATAATAAAGGACTTCAATATCTTTGGTGTACTTTTCCATCTCTTTGATGTATATTCATCTTGGAACAGAAAGGGATGTTTGGGATAAGATTGTATTTCATCAGGATACTTAAATAACTCAATTTTTAACTTAAAGAGCCAACAATTTTTTTTCTTTTTTTACCTGAAACATGTCCTTTGTGGCTTCCAAAATAACTATAATAGCAATATTAAACCTTTAATGTACATCAAGGAAAAACTGTTGTTTTGTTTAAGAACTCATAATATTATATTTGTGAACTCATATTTGTGAAGGTGTGTAAATGGGATGATTATCTAAAACAACCAGTTAATATGAATGTCTACTCTTAGCAAAGCGAAGGCAACTGTAGCATTAGACAAACAACAAAAAGACTTCTCTCTGTGGCTTTATAGTTCATTGTGTCCTAAGTATACTCTGCCATAACAAATCAGTTAGTTGTTTTTGATTCTTAACAAATTCTGAACTATGTTTGTTAATTAGTGACTGATGGGCAGAGATTAAATTAAAACCATCCGAAATCATCTATAATATTTAGGAGTAAATTGAACATATATTTAATATTTTAATGCTTTCTTTTGTAATGTTTATTTTTACTTGAAAGCACTTGCTCTGTAATTTGAAAAAGGTCATGATTCTTTCTGAGCCTCCTTACTTTGAGTTTGTGTGTGTATGTTTTTCTTTAAGGCTTCAACCACTGTGTGTAAAATGTCTGGATGGTAAAGAAGTAATCTGTCTGGAGGCAGGTGGTTACCATTCTCTTGCACTTACTGCGAAATCCCAGGTAGGAGACAAAATGTCAAAAGCTGATCTTAATTTTGTGGAAGCTTAACATGACCAAGTTAGACCTTCATTTATTGAGTCTCTGCCATGTGTTAGGCAATAATGCCATATCTCATTTGATCTTCCTAATATTTTACATCATATTGCATTTCCTCTGTTTTACAGAGGAAGAAAGTGAGATTTAGAGAAATTATGTAATTTGTGTAAAGTTACACATACGATAGTAAGATTTGATTGAACACTGGTCTACCTAACGAAGGTTTCTATAATGTGCTCTTATCAAAAAATAGAATTCAAGATTTTCCGGGATATTGATGATTTTTTTTTGTATTGATGAATTTTTATGTTTTTTGATGAAGAAAATCTATGATAAGACACTAAGAAAAGAAAACAGAGGTATTTTTCTTAAAATTGTGGGACTTGAAAGTGACCTCCAGAATCACTTAAAACCACACCATGATAAATTTTATTTATATCATACATCAAATACATAAAGTAGTTATTTTAAGTTGGTTTCTTTTTTTTTTTTTAAAGACTTTTATATAATCTCTACAATCAATGTGGGGCTTGAAATCATAACCCCTAGCTCAAGAGTTGCATACTCTGTGGACTGAGCCAGCCAGGTGCGCCTAAGTTGTTCTTAAATGTAGTCATAATGATTCTTCATCAGTCCCTTCATCTTATTAGAAAAAGTCAATAAATCTAAATCCTTAAATATTTTAAATTTCACATACTAGTCTAGCCAAAATAGTTTAAATTTCACATACTAGGCTAGCCAATAGCTCAAATAAATAAATGAAAATATTAGGAAAGAAAAGGATAATTTATTATTATTAACGCGATGAATCATTCAAAAGACTTAAAAGTAAGAGATTAGGAAGATGGTCAGTTACAAAACATGAAAGTTGCTAGCTTTTTATACACATAAGGTAAAACAGAAAACATAGGGAAAAAAGAAGCTGTTCACAGTGGCAACAAAAGTATTAGGAAAATAGGAATATTTTTAATAGGAAGTGTGTAGATCCCATGTGATACAAACTCACAAACTCTTCTGAAAGGTTATAAAAGAAAATAATAAAGAGAAAGGGATTTTACTGTTTTTTTGTTTTTTTTTTTAATTTTAGAGAGAGAGCAGGGCAGGGGGCGAGGGTGAGGGGCAGAAGGAGAGGGGGAGAGAATCTCAAGCAGGCTTCACAGAGCCCAGCTTGGAGCCCCGTGGGGGGGCTTGATCTCACAACCCTGAGATCCTGACCTGAGCCAAAATAAAGAGTCAGGCACTTAATCAACTGAGCTGTCCCAGGGTCTTGGAGATTTTGTTTTATTTTATTTATTTTAAAAGATTTTACTTATTTTAGAGAGAGACCATGAGCAGGGAGAGGAGCAGGGGGAGAGGGACAAACAGATTCCAAACTGAGTGTAAGCCTGACACAGGCCTTGCTCTCATGACCTGTGATCATGACCTGAGCTGAAATCAAGAATTGACTGCTCAATTGACTGAACCACCCAGGCACCCCTGAAATTTTATTTTTAGATGGAAAGAATCAATGTTGCAAAAATGCCATTTTCCCCTAGGTCATTAAATATTTCATTGTAAGATTTACAGCTTGATAAAATGATCCCAAAACTGTTCCAGGAGAATAAATACAGAAGGTAAATCACATAAATTCTGAAAATGAGCAGAAAGGAAGGGTGAGAATTTGCCTTATAAAATATACTATCAGGGGTGCCTGGGTGGCTCAGTGGGTTAAAGCCTCTACCTTCAGCTCAGGTCATGGTCCTAGGGTCCTGGGATCCAGCCCCAATCGGGCTCTCTGCTCAGCAGGGAGCCTGCTTCCTCCTCTTTCTCTCTGCCTGCCTCTATGCATACTTGTGATCTCTGTCCAATAAATAAATAAAATCTTTAAAAAAAATATACTATCAGACTACAAACAAATGAGTGAGATAGAAATATACCTGTGAACTAGAAATAGACCCAAGTATATATGAGAATTTAGAATATGATAAAAGTGGACATTTCGTATCAGTTGGGGAAATAAGACTGCATATTCAGTAAATACTATTGGAACCATTGGCTTCTTATTTGCAGAAGAAAATTAAGAGAACTTCACATATTCTACTTCTGGATGAATTAAAGATGTAATGTTAAAAAATAAAACCTTACATGTGTAAGAACAAGTTTAGGTGTTTCTTTCTTTCTCTTTCTTTCTTTCTTTCTTTTTTTCCCCCAATAACCTTAGGAGTAGAAAAGGACATGATACCAAAACCAGAAGTTAGAAAGTAAAGATATGTTTGTCTACCTAGTAATTCAATGCTCCTAAATAGCAAAACTGCCACACACAAAATTAAAATACATAACAAACTGGGAAAAAACTTTTGTGATACATATGATAAAGTGTTACTGCTAAAGATACAAAAGAAAAATTGTCAAAGGATGCTTATATTCAATTCATAAAAGAGCTAGAAATGACCAGCAATGAATGAAAAGATGGTCAGCCACTTAGAAGACAAATATAAATTAAAACAACAGTAAAATATTTTCTCACTTACCAGATGAGCAGAGATCCCATTTAATAGTGGGTGCGGTGAGGGTGGAAGGAAAGAGAGTGCTGGCAGGGATGTACATTGGAGCTTGCTAGAAAACAGTTTGCCAGTATGTATCAAAAATCAGAATGTGCAGGTTCATGAACCCAGAGTTCTTTGCCTAGGAATTTATTCTAAGGAAATAAATAGATACACAAATATGTATATTCAAGGATTTTTAATATTTTTTATTAAAGAATTAGAAATTATAAACAAATATGGTTACTTCGTTAGGTATTTTATTAAACTACACCTGCAGAGTTCTGCATAGTTATTCTAAATGATGTTGTAGGTTGGGGCGCCTGGGTGGCTCAGTTGGTTAATCGTCTGACTCCTCATTTCAGCTCAGGTCATGTTGTCAGGGTCGTGAGATTGAGCCCTGCTTCTGGCTCTGCACTTGGTGCTGAGTCTGCTTGAGATTCTCTTTCTCTCTTCCTCTGCACCTCCCCCTGCTCCCATGCTCTGTCTTTCATAAATAAAGAAAAAGAAAGCAAGAAAGTTGTAGCTGGATACTTACTGAAAAATGTCAAGGAAGAACATTAAGGAAAAACATCAGGTTGCAAAACAGCATTATGTTTTGTGTCTACATTATATACTATAAACATCAAAATTTCTAGAGGTATGTCTGTGGGTGTGTTCCCAAAACAAAATAGCAGTTGTCTCTAAGTGGTCAGTTCATCAGCTGTTTCCACCTTCTTTTCGTTTCTTTGTTCTGTGACAGTCTTGTAGAATGACAATGAATTGCTTTTAAAGCCAGAAGAAACCAAACCATTTGCATAAACATGGTCACTGTCATCTAGTTTCTTTTGTCTGTAGTGGAGCATAGGTACTTGTGTTTCTCCCACGATAACTCTTTTGAGTATGAAAAGGTGTTCTAGTGATTTCACAGTACTCCTGTCTACAGAAAAAGAATCATGATTAATTTTTCTTTATAGCATTTACCTTTTTTATCACCTTCTTTGTAAAGAGGCAGTATAGGATAATTCCTGGGATTATATCCTGGCTTGGCCGTTTATAAATTTGTGACTCCTCTGAGCCAGTTTCCTTATCTGTAAAGAAAGGATTGTCATGAGAATTAAACATTAATTAATACAAACAAAGTGTTAAGAGAAATGCTGGGCAGGTAGTAAACACCTGAAAAATGATAGTTTTTTTTTTTTTTTAATTTATTTGACAGATCACGAGTAGGCAGAGAGGCAGGCAGAGAGAGAGGAGGAGGCAGGCTCCCCGCTGAGCAGAGAGCCCGATGCGGGACTCGATCCTAGGACCCTGAGATCATGACCTGAGCCAAAGGCAGAGGCTTTAACCACTGAGCCACCCAGGCGCCCCGAGAAATGATAGTTTTTGTTAACCCTTGGACTCTGTCTTCCTATGTACTGTTTGCTCATCATCTCTGGCCTTGTTTAAAGATGATTTTTTTAAGTATTTAAAGAATGTAAGTGATGTGTGTATAACTATTGGGAGTGTGTGTGTGTGTGTGTGTGTGTGTGTGTTTATACATACACACTTATATATACACGTATATATGGATATGTTATTATAGACATTCAGAAGTGACATGTAGTCAGATTCACAACTCTTATCTACATTTCTATGATTTTGTAATAGGTTTACTCCTGGGGAAGCAATACCTTTGGTCAACTTGGGCATTATGATTTTCCAACAACAGTTCCTCGTCTTGCAAAGGTATTTTTGAGAACTTGGTGATTTTTGTAGCAACTTATTTCAGAATTCTAAGTCATAGCACTTTATATATCTCCATTTAGTGCTTGAAAAATTAGTAGCATCCTGTATTTGTGACCTAAATTCATTTTGGTGTACTTAAATTTTTTTTTTTATAAAAAAAAAGCCATGAAGCCCCTTATTTTCAAGCTAAATGTTCTTTTTTAAAATAACATGTTTATATTTCTTTTGTTCTTAGCTTCTATTGTTCATTGAATATTCATAGTCCTTTGTCTTTTTTTTTAAATAAAAATGCAAAAGTTTTTTTTTTTTTAAACAAACGATTCTAGGATGATGATATTGACTTCTGAGCTTTGTACCACCAAATGATGCCTACTCTGACTTTTCACTTAAGTTTGATGTTTACATAACATTATTTGGTGGTGGTATTTTGCGGGGGCTTTTGTTGTTTTTTTTTTTACATATATAGTCCTAGTAGTAAAACTTTTTTGTAAATCTTTTCATTTTCTATAGTGAAGCTAAAAGTATAGATGATTTCTTCACTGTTGTATAAATTGCTTTTGGTTTATGCAATGCTATTCAGAGGTTGGTAACTTCTAGTCCCTTTGATGTAATTCTAGAGGACTATTTATCAATCTTTTTTTCTCCTCCAAAACTGTGTGGAAATACTAAATTTTCATCAATGGTGTTGACTCCTTATATGAGATTTGTTTTTTTGGATGGTAGGGGGCAGGGAGTTAACATGGCAACAGCCTAACAGAATGGAATATGGAGCTCATCCTTTTGTAGTTTGATTCTGCTATCAACCCAGCCCAAGACATGCTCCCTCTACTGAGGGCAGCAGAGACAAAAAGGGTAGTTACGTCAAGTTCAGGAACACGATTGGCATATAAACTTCAGATAATATATATTACAGTAATGCATGTTTTCAGGGTACACTGTGATCCATTGCCTTATAAGACTTGAACGTGCCACCTTTCCTTCCAGGGAACTTCATTTCACCAAGAGGAAAAGACTTAGATAAAACATTAGGCAATAGTTATTACTTTCTAGTTCCAATCTTAAATATTTTCAGTATAGAGCATTTCAGCTATTCAACTACTGATATTATATAACAAAAAAATATGGCAGATCATTGTTCCTTGTTTTTCACTTCAGTGAATTAGATTGTACATTTATTCTTACCAAGGAAAGTTCTGTAATAGGATGGAGGCCCTGGAAATCAAGTTTTTATGTAACTCTGTACAGTCAGACAAGAGAGAATAAGATTTTAGTTTCATTACTCATTAACTGTACAGATAAAAATTACAGCATCAGGATTTTGGTTTTTTTTTTATTTGGGGGAAGGATGAGAGAAACATTCTGATGTCATTTTAATTAATCTGTGAAATAAGAGTCAAGGTAGAAGGAGATCTGAATTAGTTTTGATTAGAGACTAGTAAAAAGACTTTTGTCTCCTGCAAAAATTGTAATCCATTCCTTTCAGAATTAACAGGAAGCCAGTTATTTGGAGAGCCTGAATTTGAGAAGATAATGTCATGCCAGAAAGGGATAGCTATGAAGTAGTGGAGACATGTGCACACATTCACACAGTCATCCAATCACCTAGGATTTGGAGCCTGTCTAGACACAAAGAATCAGACAGATATGAGGGTTTTTGCTTATCGGTATTGAAGTCACAGCTAAAGCTGGGGCTGGAGGTTGGGGCAGGAGTTTTCGTAGCAGAATACTTTCTTCAAGTGAAATCTTCTGTGTAATCTCATACACAAAATGGATAAACCTAGAACTACTTTAGTTGAAGGATGGAGGGGGATGGGGCAGAGCCCTGACACCTACCTTTCCGTGGGGCCTCCTGAATCACCACGTGGAATCCTGAGGATTGAAAACCATTGGTTTAAGGCAGTGGCTCTTAAACTTTTGCACACATCAGTGTCAAACCAGATTGCTTTACCCTCAGTAGCTCTGTGGCCTGAGAGTTCGCATTTCTAACATGTTGTAGGTGTTTGCTGCTACAAAGACTGCTTGTTGAGAACCTCTGGTTTGGGGGATCCCTGTAGATGGGCTTCGAGGGGGCCTTGCCTGTTTCAACAGCCTGGGAGTTGGTACAGTGAAGTCACATCAGAGAGGTAGTGAATTCCAAGTGGGAGAACTGAATTTGAGCACTGAAGAGTGTAGTTGGCTAGAATGCACTTGTGCCTTGTTAGATTTTTTCTTTCCATCTTGATTTTTGTGCACACAGTTGAATATGAATGGACAAAGGTGTGTCCTAGCTGTCAGAATAGGGCTCTAGAAGTTTCTGTGGCTCCTAATTGTAGTACGGCCTAAGTCTTATAGAGACTTCCAAAAGTAACTATTAAAAATTAGATCTACAGTTTCTCCTTTTTAAATCCTAGTTTTTCAGATTTTATAAAAACAATCCAGTTCTGAATTTAAAAGCTGAACACAGGATTCCTTCTTATCTACGCGTCTGTGCTGCAGTTGATAGGGCACATTAGTGGATGAGTTTTGCCAATAGAGATATTAGTGACTGTGCAACCACATCTGTTTAACCTAACGTTTCCATTCTGGTGGATCTGAATTTCTGTTTAATTCTTTCTTTCATCTTGGACAGATGGTATCTTGCTGTCATTACAGGTGAACAGTGAAAATAGAGTTTGGAGCGTAGCCGCAGGCCAGGATTATTCCCTGTTTTTAGTGGATACAGAAGACTTCCAGCCTGGGTTATATTACAGTGGCCGACAGGACCCTGCAGAAGGTGACAACCTTCCAGAGAATCACAGTGGTACTAAGACTCCAGTACTTCTCTCCTGTAGTAAGGTGAACGGGAATTGGATCCTAAGGCCTTCCGTAACACATGAGCAGTCTTTTTGTTTGGTTCTTATTTGTATATATGCCTATTATGACTTGTCTTTGTCTACTGTATTTAAAATTGCAAACCCTTCCCATCCCCCTTTTCTCCTTACCTCCTTTTCCTGACTGACTTCTCTCCACAGTGCGTGTCACCATCAAGTACACTATATAATTTACTTTTTTTGGTCTATTTTTCTGCTCTCAACTATAAGATTCTGAAGAGTAGAGATTTTAGGTGCTCTCATTTACTGCTGTATCCTTATAGCAAGTACTTTATAAATACTCATTGAATTAACACCCTCATGTAGGAATATTAAAAAGTACATTTCACAATGAAGTTTCCTAACTATGTTCATGGAGCCCTCAGAGGTGAATTAGAATAGAAATGGAGTAGATGAGGTTTTTAAATTTTGTTTTATTTGCCAAAGATTTTATTTATTTGAGAGAGAGTGTGTGTGTATTGGGTTTGGTGGGGAGAGGCAGAGGGAAAGGAAGAAGCAGATTCCCCGCTGAGCAGGGAGCCCCACAGAGGGCTCGATTCCAGACCCTGAGATCATGACCTGAGCTGAAAACAGATGCTTTACTGACTGAGCCACCCAGGCATCCCTGGAGTGGATGAGGTTTTAATTGTAAATGGGAAGTAAAAATGACATAGACCCAAGGTGGGCTCATGGCAGACCTGACAGGCAACCAGCTGTGCTTCTCTCCTCTGTTAACTTGTTTTATTTACTGCTATTTACTCCCTTCTTTTTTATTTGTTGATTTGTATTTCTTTGCTTTCCTACTTCCTATCTCTTTTTCATGAACCTAAAATGACTGGCCTGTTCCTGGTTTTCTTTTTTTCTCATTAAAGTAACTCATATCCTCAAAGTGCCATGATTTACCCTCAAAGCTAATACATTCTGGATTTCTTACTCTTACTGGATAATACAGCCTATGGATTTTTTTTTTAAATCTTTCATATTTGTTTTTCTGGGTAAATGCATTAGCTATGAATGTATAGGGACAAAGTCTTTCTTGGTAAAGGCAACACTGGCCAAGATTTGGCTGCTGACCTATACACAGGCTGTTATTTCCGATGCACTTGACTCTTTGTAGTTGTTGGCCCTTGCTCCACATTCTTATGAAAAATCCCATAGTCCAGATAAATGAGGAAATACGCTGGTGAGAGGAGTGAGGCTTTAGTATGTATCATCAGTTACTATGGATATTAGTGTGCGTGGTCTGCAGCTTGGTTTGCTGGGTTTATAGTGATCTGTGTATACACTGATTATTTTTGTTAAGTGGTATAGTGGATAAATGACAAAAAGTCCCTTTTAAAGAAAATCCCTTTATGTTGCACTTTTAAGAGACAAGATAATTCCTAGACCCTTGATGTTCCAGTACACAGTATAGAGATCCTCTCTGCTCTCATTTAACCTATTTCACAAAAAAGAGGATCCTGAAATATGTATCTCTATTGTTTGGATCTTTGTATATTTAGGGTGTCTGTGGTTCTAAGTACATGTAATATGAAATAAAAGATACTGTGGCAATAAAAGTATAGATACATGTGGTAATGTATAGGTCCAGATACACATATATAATAATGTTGTACTGGTAAACCAGCTCTAAAAAAAGACAAAACAAAACAAATAAGTCCCGATCTATAGTGTTTGGCATTTTGGGGGGGTAATTTTACTATTGCCAGTTTCAAGCTACGGGTGATTTAATAACTAACTTGCAAAATTCTTGAATGTAAATATTCCATTTGGCTCCTGCCAGCTGATATGAGCCAGTTTTAGCACCCAGATTACTGCTAGTACATTATATTCTATCTTTAATCTTTTTCTCCTCCTCTGTTTCAGCTCGGATATATAAGCAGAGTGACAGCAGGAAAAGATAGCTATCTAGCTTTGGTGGACAAAAATGTTATGGGATATATTGCCAGTCTCCATGAGTTGGCTACTACGGAAAGACGATTCTATTCAAAACTAAGTGACATCAAATCTCAGATTCTCCGGCCTCTTCTCAGTTTAGGTAAGTAGAACGTCCCCCCACCCCCTCAGTTATCAGGACTCTTTATCTGTTCTTCCTGTAGCACAAATTAAAAAAAAAAAAGTTGAGTTACAGGTTCCTTTCTTTCCATTCTCTTATTTTTGTACACAGGCTGTCAACCACTTACATACTGTTTCCACTTTGTCAGGAGCCCAGCTGCCCCTGAGTGTTCTACCATTCCCAGAGCTCTTTTTCCCTTGTGGAAATAGGAAGTGGAGCTTTTCAGAATATTCATGGTAGAGAAGCATAAACAGCTTTGGGAAAGTTGATCTAGGAGCCAGACTTCAGAACAGCACTTCTGGCCCCACTAGTTCTAAGATATCTTATGTTGTACTACCTGACTTTTTCATTTTCTTTGTTCTAGTTCTTAGAATTACATCAAGTGGAGATTCGTCTGGATTTACAAGTAGTCTCTTAAACTGTGGACGAGAGTGTTCAGGGTCTTATCCAGCATTCCCGTGAACTGGTTAAATCTGATTCCTTTTATTAGCTGCAGTCAACAGGGAGGAGGGATTGAAGATGAAGATAATACAGAGGAATTGCAGTAGTTCTAGAGGGGTCTGCTGTCAGGATACACCAGATCCCGGGTCTCCAGGAGGTTAGAAAGGCATACAGATGGAAGCGGGAGAAATGGCTCTTGAAGATCAGAGTTCATTTTTTTCAAGAATTTTTGTAGGTTTGGCCCTGCGCATAGAAAACGGAGAGGAAGTTTCTTTCTCTTTCTCTTTCCTGCACTCTGTGGCCCCTGTGAGGGCCCTGTGAGGACCTGGAATTCAGATCAATACTGTAGTGCTTAAATTCTGCCTTGTTTAGTATATCAGTTTTTCCACATTAAGTTGGCACTGGCTTGTGTGGGTCAGCCCATTTTTATAATGGGAAAACATTTTTTCAAATAAGTAATATATAGTCTTTCAGAATGTGACCTTTGTAAGTTAGGGACTGTCTGCATTTTTAAATTTCTTGATTTTATTTTATCTTTTTTTTTTTTTTTTTTAGCTTTTTTTTTTTTTTTTTAAAGTAATCTCTACACCCAACGTGGGGCTCAAACTCATGACTTGGAGATCAAGGTTTGCATGCTCTTCTGACTGGGCCAGTCAGGCATCCTAGTTAGTTTTAGTTTTTAATCTGTTTTGCCTTTTTTAAATGTCGTAGAGTGCCTCTTCTATAAATTCTCTTCCAGTGGGTGGGCATAACACCACAGGAGACTGGCAAGGGGAAAAGCAGCAGTCCCAGCTGGAAGCTTCCTGGAGTGCTCTGAAAGAAAAGTGAGACTGTCCTTTTCCCTGTCCTGATTCGTGATTTCTATGTTCTTCTTGCCTCATCTGCTCATCAGCCTCACTGCTTAGAGAGAAGTCCTGGAAATTAGGAACTTTGGACTGGGAAAAAGCAGATGACCCCCTGGTACTCTCTATAAAGTTCAGAGCAACCTGGTCAGTCTGATTTGGGGATTGCCCTCCCTTCACTGAAGTGTTGGGCTTGTCCAAGGGTCAGTAGAGCAGAAGTCAGTACAAAAAGTTGAAAATGTTAACGAAAATGTAACTACAAAAGTGCGCTTAATTCCTGGCTGTCACTTACCAGTTGTGTGAAATCAGATAGCTCACTTCCTTTTCTCCGGCATCAGATTACTTATCTTCAGAATGGGAGGAGAGTGAGATTTGCCCAGTGGTGCTCATGTTCGGCCTGCTGAGTCAGAAGCTATGGGAACCCTGTGCCTGTGTTCGTAACAAGTTTCTCAAGTGACTGGATTCTCTGGTCTCTGAAGTTCCTTTAACATTGTGATGATTTGAGTTCCACAGTTGAGAGTACATCTCAGCATGTTAAGTATTTTTAGAAAAGGGGGATTCATAATCTTGATCTTGAGAAGGTGTTCAGGTCGTGAGTCTTCAGGTTGTGTCTTCATCATCATCACTCCGTTACAGAAAATTTGGGCACCGCAAGCACAGTCCAGCTGTTGCAGGAGGTGGCAAGCCGTTTCAGCAAGCTGTGTTACCTGATTGGTCAGCACGGAGCCTCCCTGAGCAACTTCCTCCATGGGATAAAGGAAGCCCGGAGTTTGGTCATTCTGAAGCATGCAAGTCTCTTCTTGGATAGTTATACAGAGCAAGTATCCAGTCCCGTGTCATGTTCAGTCTCTGCAGGGTTATTCTGCCAAGGAGAACAGCTCCTTAATCAGAAGAGACTAGATTAGGGACAGTGATATAAGGTAATAGAAATTGCAAAGCAGTATTTTAATCTTAAGCCAACTGTAGTTCTGCATTGCTAAAGTTTCAGTTTTCTTTAAGTGGAAAAAAGGTTGAAAAATAATGAATTACATTTCTTTTTGTAGTCTAGCAGAATGATTGATAGTGTTTAATTTACATGAAATATTCTTAATTTACATAAAATATACTATAATAAATACGGTTCTTTATAGAACAATTTCGCTTACTTTAGTAAATTATGATAAAATTAGAAGAAATAAGTAACTAAACAAATTATTCTAAGACCAACTGCTAATGGTAAATATGGAGTTGTTCCAGTGTCTCTTTTTTATTGTTGTGTAAATGGAGGGTTAAAAGAGACCATACTATCTTCAAAACAAGGATATTTCCTTAATAAAATCTACCATAAGTTATCCAAGATTCTTTTAATTTTTTCAAACAAAATATTCTAAGTGTATTGAAAATTAAAAATTTCTCACTTTTTTTTCATTTATTCTTTGCCATTTTGATGTGAGGCCTAATTTGTTATTTTAATGCATATTAAAATGACATCAGTGCTGTTGATCTGAAGTGAAAGTTTTATTCTTTATTAATACCTCATCCACTTAGCAAGTATGGACCGAGCACCCACTAAGTGCCAGGCACTTTGTTGCGCTCTAAGATTACACAGCCACAGCCAGGAGCCAGTGAAAAGGAGTTCATATTCTGTTGGTGTTTTATTTAGGTTATTTTTAATATTAGTGATGATGTTTATTATCGAAAATTATATAAATAAGAATAGTCAAAAAGATACTTAAAGTTGCCCGCAATTCTACCACCAGAAATAACCATTGTTAATTTTAGTGTACTTCCTTTCAGATTTATGCATATATATGTGGAGAGATGCATGTGATTTTAATTGTAAGCAATATTAAATATATTTGAAGATACTGTCTGAGAGGAAATACCCTAGTTGCAGTCTCTCGTATTCTTTCAGGCATGAAAAATAACATAAATTGATACCAGTGTACTTTTTATTTTGGCGGGTGGGAAGAGGGAGAGAGAGAATCTTAAGCAGACTCCAGTGTAGGGCTCAGTCTCCTGACCCTGAGATCATGACCTGAGCCAAAATCAAGAGTTGGATGCTTAACTGGCTGAGCCTCTCAGGCACCCCCAATTTACTTTTTTAAAGTAGATTTTGTTTGCATAAGGGTTTCAGCTTTTGCTATTGTAGTTCTTTTTTGTCTTACTTATCTCACAATTTTTTAAAAAAATTTCTTGTTCTCTTATACTTCAGGACTTAGAGATGCTTTTATTTTGATACCTCGGACTATCTTTTAATGTAATTTATTCATATAGATGAGGCAAGTAAAAAAAACCTTGATTTGTTTATGAGTTTTAAAAATATTTATTTAAATATTTTATTTATTTATTTGACAGACAGCGAGAGCAGGAACACAAGCAGGGGAAGTGGGAGAGGGAGAAGCAGGCTTCCTGCCGAGCAGGGAGCCCAGTGTAGGGCTCCATCCTAGGACCCTGGCCGGGATCACGACCTGAGCCAAAGGCAGACTACCTAATGACTGAGCCACCCAGGCGCCACTGCTTATGAATTTAGAAGTTACTTTTAATTGTGGTAAAACACACATAACATTTAATTTATTATCAGGACCCCCCCCTTTTTTTTTTAAGATTTTTCATTTATTTGAGAGAGAGAGAGAGAGAACATGAGTGGGGATGGGCAGAGGAAGAGGGAGAAACAGACTCCCCAGGAGCCTCATGTGCGGCTGGGTCCCAGAACCCTGAGATCATCACCTGAGCTGAAGGCGGACACTTAACCTAGTAAGCCACAGAGCCTCCCCACATCAAGATCATTTTTTTTTTTAATATTTTATTTATTTATTTGACAGAGAGAGATCACAAGTAGACAGAGAGGCAGGCAGAGAGACAGAGAGAGGGGAGCAGGCTCCCTGCTGAGCAGAGAGCCCGATGCGGGACTCGATCCCAGGATCCTGAGATCATGACCTGAGCCGAAGGCAGAGGCTTAACCCACTGAGCCACCCAGGTGCCCCATCAAGATCATTTTTAAGTGTAAGGTACCTTGGGTTATTTTGAATAGGAATTTGCCTTCTCTTGAAGTCTGTTGATTCCATTTTGCCATTCTGGGAATATGATAGAAATGTACATGCATCAAACAGTACATCAAGACATTCTGTAACAGTAGACCAAAACTTAACTGACATTTTCTAATAGTTTCACTTGAGCTCTTTTAACATATTTTCTTCTCTTCTCTTGTTTATTTCTGAAGGCTTAATTTTCATTAAAAATCAACTATTTTAATTATATTTCCTCAAGTTTGTTAAGTTAGCAAAGTAAAGGAGCGCTTGGTGGCTCAGTTGTTAAAGCATCTGCTTTCGACTCAGGTTATGATCCCAGGGTCCTGGGATTGAGCCCTGCATCAGGCTCCCTGCTTCACGGGGAGCCTGCTTGTCCCTCTCCGCCTGCTTTGCTGCTCCCTCTGCTGGGTATGCTTGCTTACTTTCTCTCTCTCTCTCTGTCAAATAAATAAAAAAATCTATGAAGCAAATCCTAGCATCTTCTGCATAATTTTAGTTGTATTTTAAATTTACAATTATATTAACATCTTTACTAAAATGGTTTTTTCCCCTCCTCATTATTGTGATTATCACATAATCTGCCCTTCTTTTCAGTCAAGTCCGTTCATGACTAATGTTGACATCACAAAAGTTCTGAAAGTTATTGGTGAGACCAAGAAGTACCTGCTCCAGATGCTTGTTATGTAAATTTGTTCTTCAGAATTTTCATTTAATGCTAATGTATGTGTGTTTTCTTTTTTGCTCAAGGTATTGCACATCTATTACAAATTTCCTGGTTATGGGAGGATTCCAGCTTCTTGCTAAGCCCGCCATGTAAGCAAATACATACCTTCCAATTACCATTCTAACAAACGAAGATCATATTTTATAGTGTTCTGTGTTTCTGAGTGCCCAGGAAAAGTTTTGGCATAATCATTTTATCAAATGAATCAAAGTGTAGACTTTCACTAACTCTTACAGAAGACAGGTATTATTAGCCCCTGATTATCATTGGAAGTCGTATGGTATTCAAAAAACAGGATCTGGGTCCTTCTTTATTATCCCTGAGACGGTGGACAACTCTCTTAACCAAATTGAGCCTAATTTTTTTCATCTGAAAAATGGAAATGTTTTTTCCTCTGCTTGTGAGTAGCAAATAATGTATGTGATGGTATAGAGAAAAACACAAAGTGTTACACAAATACAAAGATTTTGCATTTAGCTTCTGGATAATAAATGTAAAAGGCCCCTTACATGAGGCTAATCATTCTGAACAATGTAGATTCTTAACGAGTATTGACCTAGAGACAAAAGCAAGTTTAAAAAATTCAGTTATATTTTAAAAAGTCAGTATATCAAATATGTACTTACAACCCAGATTTAATAGATGTTAATATCTTGCCATGTTTGCCTTTGATCTTATACCCTAACATAGTAATAACACCCTTGTCTTACTTCTGATCTTCAAGGGAAATAGTTTTAGTATTTCCTCATTAAAGATGATTGCCTTAGGTTTTTGGTAAATATCATTTATAGTGTTACAGGTCTCCTTTCTTAAAAAAGGAAGGGGGGAGTGTTCCTTTCCATTCCTGAAAGTTGAAGAGCAATAGATTTTTTTAATGGTAAACATCCTTGAGTTCCCAAGATAAATTTAGTGATCTGCCTGTATTAGTTTTTCAGTACATTGCTGGATTCAATTTGCTGATACTTAAGATTTTGCATCTATATGAATGTGAGGTTTTCCTTTTCTGAACTTGAAGTTTTGGTAAGAAGATTGCACTAGCAGTTAAAAAGTGGGTGTGGGAAATTTGTTTTTTCTGGAATAGTTTGCATGAGATAGAGAATATCTGTACTTTGAGATTTTGTAGAATTCATCTAAAAACATACGGCTTTTTGGGGGCATTTCTAAAGGGAGTTTTAAACTACTGACTTAATTTCTTAGATGAATAGATCTGTTCAGGACTTTATTTCTTCTTGTGGCTTTAATTATTTATATTTTTCTGGAAAATTATTGCATCCAAGCTTTCAAATTTATTGGTATAATATTGCTACCATTTTCTTAAGATGTTTTTACCTCCATAATAACTGCAGTTCTATCCCCTATTTTTCATTGTTCTTATTTATTTGAGTCTTTTTTTTAATCTTAGTTTTGTCAGCAGTTTACCCTCTTTAATTTTCTTTTCAAAGATTAAGCTTTAGTTACTTCTTTCTTTGTTTTCTATTCCACTAATTTCTCCCTTTTTAAAAAATTTTATTTATCTGAGAGAGAGAGAGAGCAAGCTCAAGTGGGTGGAGGGCAGAGGGATAAGCAGACTCCCTGCTGAGTGCGGAGCCGGACACAGGGCTCCATCCCAGGGCCCTGAGATCGTGACCTGAGCTGGAGGCAGACTCTTAACGAACTGAGACACCCAGGTGCCCCTAATGTGTTAATTTTTGAGTAACACGTACAAACCCAGCCATGTAAGGGGAAAGCAGTATTGCCACTATTGGATTAAAACTCCCAAGAGAAGATAAGCCAAACAGTCCCTGGTTCAGGTTTCCTGAGAACATACAAGGCCCTTTTGGGGAAAGTCCATAGGCCAAGGACCTGAGTGAATCCTGAAAAGTAATAGGACTTAAAAGAGTGGGAACATTTTGGTGCAGTACTGGGCATCCAGAAGAAACGTGGTCATAGTAGGTATGTGTTCAACATGTGCTATTTCAGTCTCTCAGGAGCAGGTTAAAGCAGAGCAGTTCTGTGGGGTTAAGTGAGTGTCCTTAGCTGATCTCAGCAGCAGAACATGTAGGAGGAAGAACATGTAGGAGGAAAGAACATCCACACAAGCCAAATATAAATAATAATCTGGGTCATGTTCCCCAAGGCACCCTCAGATCTCTTAATTGCGTTATAAGACAGTCCACTTTGTGCTATTGAACTTCTGGGCTCCTGGAAATTATTACGTATTTTCCATTCCAAGATAATATTTCATAATTTCAGAGCTAAACATTTATTTTTTAGTTCTCTGAGAGATTATAAAATGATTCATTCTTGCTTATAGTCTTGCATGACATTGTCTAATATGAAGCCTTGTGGGTAAGAATTGTAATATAATGCTTATAAAGCACTCGGGGTAGTACCTGGCACATAATTATTGCTTATTAAGGGGCAGATAATAACTACTATTCTGTCCCACCAACTCTTACTTCTTTCACATCTTCTTTTTTCTTCTTTCACATCTTTTATGTATTTTGGTCTGATCATTGTCTCAGTGGGTTATTGATCACCATTAAAATTTGCAAAAAATTTTAATAATGAACTTCAATGAAACTAAATATAAAAACGAAATGTTGACTTCAGTTTAAAATGATTTTGAAGATTTCAGCATTGCAGTCTTCACATAGAATTAGCTCTACTGTTTCCTGTTAATTGTAGTACTGGTACCTACAGCTTTTCATTACTCTCTTGTAATAAATTTGTATTAGGTGTAGAAAAAAAAGAAGAAATTAGAAGTATTTTAGTATATGTGCTGCCAAAGCGAGCACTAAATAGAAGTATTTTAATATTACGTGTCAGTTGTGTTGGAGCAAAGAGCTTTGTTTTTCTCCATTATTTCTGTTTAGAACCACTGATTAGAGCAATTAGTCTTGCCATTTATTGCTGTGACTTTTGGCTTGGAAATTAACAGGTAATGGTGTCAGCTGGTCTCCAATTATTCCCTGAAACTGCGGGATGCATGATTCATTTCCTAGAACTCAAGGCGTAGTTTATGATTAACCATCTCTATTATAGAGTTACTATTGCTACCATATGCTGCTTTTCATTTGCAAAAATCTATTTTTTTTTTTTTTTTTGCAAAAATCTATTTTATAGGCAGGGGAAATTCTGTTAATTTTACCTACTTATTTCATTGTATTTATAGTCTACTGTCATAGCACCTAAAAATGTGCATTCTGAAAAAAGTAGTGAAATATATCTATTCAATATCGTGCGTATTTCAATACCAAAAAGATTAACTAAATTTCCTTTTTTCCTCTATCTCCAGTGATTTCCTAAATAAAAACCAAGAGCTGTTACAAGATTTATCAGAAGTAAATGATGAGAACACCCAATTGATGGAAATACTGAATACTCTGTTTTTCTTGCCAATCAGACGACTTCATAATTATGCAAAAGTTTTGCTAAAGCTTGCTACTTGTTTTGAAGTGGTAAGCTCCCATAAATATCTTATTTGAACTCTTGGGAAAGCCGAGGATCATGGTTGTTTGTTTGGATTGTGCTACCCCAAGACCTCAGACTCCACTAATTTACTATTTATATGTGTCTAATTAAATTAATTGTCTTCAAGAACATGGAAGAAGAAAGTTTGTAGGTAAATCAAGTTCTCTTTGCTGTTGATTGGGTTTCTTTTTGGGACCTTCCCAAGATTAATTTTATATTCATTTTTTGAAACTGTATCTGAAGTCGAGACCCAGTTATGCTACTCACTCAATAGTTGTCGAAGTTTATTGAGTGCATACTAATCCAGGTTGCAGAGAGCTCTTTAAAACCCTGGCCTTCTGTATAATAAGATCCCTGTAAGGCAGTGGAGTTATCCTGGCCAGGACTCAGGATAGACTCATGCCAGGGATTCTGGTCACCTTAGCATACACTCTGAGAAATCAGTGTTATAGGACTTTCTCATAGGTTAAGTGGTCCACTTTTTGTATGAAATGAGTAGAGTCCTCGAAAATTATCACCACTGTAGGATACGGTGTATGTTAAAGCTGGTCCTGAGACATTGACCTTTGAAACTGTACTAAAATGTGTAGTTTCATTTTACTCCCACTCGGAAGTGCTCCAGAGAAACCAGGATGATTCTAGGGTCTCCTATACCTTAGAATCTTCTAAATCCCGGAAATTACCTCCTGATTTGGACAAATTGCAGTCTCTAGAGTGACCCTCAAACTGCTGTGGGCTTTTTACATTTGTTTCTACTGTGGTGTCATAGATCTTTTCTTTAGTCTGATTTCAATGTTAACTCAAACTGATGTAGTTTTAACAATGAAGGTTTGAGCTACACAGGTAACCCACTGAGCTGCAAATGTCATCTCAATGTATCTTCAGTTAATCGAAGGTCTTCCCCCATTAGACCAGCTAAGAACTATTCAGGGGGTCTGGTATGACAGTTTCCAGTCTGAAGGGTCCTAAATCTGTGTGAAAAACCAGACTCTTTAGTTTGGTGTTTAAGGCTCTTGATAATCTGATACTGTCTTTTGTTTCTAGCCTTATCTGGTTTGTTTAGATCCCTGACTGAACATCATACATATTTTATATTTCCTTCATGAGACACTCTACCGCTATCCTCATTATGGAAAAATTTCAAGGCCTGGGTCAAAAGTCATTTTATCATGAAAATGAAGCCCTCTCTGACTATACCACATTCCCTCCTCTTCCAGTCTTTGAATTAGTTACTCCTTTCTCTGTGCTTTGTTAGTACTCTCTTTCAACATTATTCTCTTATTATGATCTGTAGGACTGGGGATCAAAATCATCTGGAGAAATTTTTTCAAAACACATGGCCATATCCCAACACTGCACATTATTATTTAGTAAATCTCAGGTACAGCTTAGACATCATATATACCTATAAATTTCTCTAGGTAAAAACACCTGATATTTATTAAACGCATTCCATGTGCCAGGTACTAAGCACGTTATATGTATTCATTTAATCCCCATGTCAACCCTGTGAAATAGATATTATTATTATTATTATTATCCCCTTTCATCAGATGAAAGAATTGAGGCACAGCTGACAATTGGTCAAGCTAGAATTTATATCCAAAGGCTCCAGAGTCTTTTCTTTTAACCACTTTACTATATTGTCTCTTCTGATAGATAACCTGTTAACAAAACCATTGCATTATTCTGCTATGTTGTATATTTTTCTATCTTTTCTGCCTTGTTTTAAGCTCCCAGAAGACAACGATTGTACCTTATTTTTTTTTTTTATGCCTGACACTCAGCAGAATATTCTGTATGTAGCACATGCCATTAAATGTCTTTTAAATGAATGGAAAATGAATATGAATCACTGTAAGAATTGTGGAATGTAAAGTAATTACTCATGGACATGAGGGGTCATCCTTTTGTTTTACCTTCTGCTGTCTTTCCACCTAGCATAGCAATTATACCCTGTCCTGTATTTGGTTACCCAAGCTTGGCCCACAAACCCCTGGGGGTTCCAAAGACCCTTTCAGAGGGGTCACAAGATCAGACTATTTTCAGGACAATAGTAAGACATTTGCTTTTCCATGGTGTGTCATTTGCACCAATGGTGCAGAAGTAAGGGTGGACAAAACTGCTGGCTCCTTAGCATGAATCAGGGCAGTGGCACCAGACTCGTCATTGTGTTCTTATGCTGCCATGTGCTTGCAGTTAAAAAAGCAAAAGCAGGAAAAATAGGCCGGTTTCACTTAGAAATACTCTTGGTGACACAGCAAAAATTATTAATCTTATTTAACCTCAACCAGTGACTTTTTTTTTTCTTTCTTTTTCTTTTTTTTTTTTTTAGATATAATTGACTTGTTACATTCTGTTTTCAGGTATCCCACGTAATAATTCGCTAGAGAGATGTTTTGTGAAATGATCATCCACAATAAATCTCGTTAACATCCAACACCACACACCCAGAAATACTTATCTTTTAAGATTCTGTGTGATGGGATGGGAGTACGCAGAGCCGCTCTGCTGCATACCAGAGTAGAGAGGTTTTTCAAGAAAAAAGCACAAGATCTCTATTGTTTGAGTTGAGAGCTGGTTTTTGTTTTTGTTTTTGTTTTTGTTTTTTAACTTGAAAGAACAGTTGACAGATAACTGTGTTTATTCAGATTTGGGTATTAGGCAGATATTTTCTCAAAAATGAGTAAATGAACCTGTCATTTCAAGGAGAACAACTGACTATTTGTGGCGAATGATAAAATCTGAACTCTGAAGCAAAAAGTAAAATGTGGAAGCATGTATGTATCACTGTTGAGTTTGGCAGTTTCCCAGTACTTGACAACTTTTTCTGATGAGATTGGTGATAATATTAACATAGAATTTTTGATGTTTTATAATAAAATGTATCAACATTTAGAAGGTCTGCATAACTCAGTGAACCAGTATTTTTCCAGATGTCTAATCCACATGCTATAAAATCATGTGTAAGTAAAAGATCTATCCAAAGTGTAAGATTGATCAGTGGATTTAATTTAACGGTAGAAAAAGTTTGATTAATATAGTTTCACATTCCACATTTCCACTACTCTTTAAGAACCTACCACTTAACAACTTTTGGTTTAGTTTCAAAGACGTCCACTATTATTTGAAATGGCTGTAAAAATAATCCTAGCCTTCCAACTATATATCCTTATAAAGTAAGATTTTCTGCATCTGTTTCAACCAACAGATTAAATCAATAACAAATGGAAATCTGTCATTTTGTCAGCCAGATAAGAAGTAGATTTGAAAAAATGTAGAATAATGCTGCTTTTCTCACTAAGCATTTTGTTGTTGTTTTGGAAAATATATTTTTCATTTAAACTGGTACTGTATTTGAAGTGAGTTAATAAAGATTAAAAGTTATTTTTATTTTTCAACTTTATTTTCTAGTATGGTAAATGTCAGTAGATATAGCCCGGATAAGCAAAATAGAGGGCCTTCCCGAGACCAAAACATTTGAGAATTCCTCCCCTATTCTGAATTCTCTGCTGCTTTCCTCACTGATAACTGTCTAAGGAGTTTGTTTCTCTCCCCTGGAATTATGCCTCTGTTTCATATATACGTGTACAGTAGAATGTTCCGGAACCAGTCTTCTTTCAGCTCAGCCCCCTTCAGTACACCACGTCTGTTCTTCATTTGGATTTCTTCCCTAAATTTAATACTGTATCAACACCACACTGAGATTCTGGACAATTGTTTTATATTCTTTTTCTCCCCCTTCCCCCTTTATTGGCTTTCAGACATCTCCGGACTACCAGAAACTGCAGGATTCCAGTTCTTGTTACGAGTCTCTTGCTCTCCATCTCGGCAGGAAAAGGAAGGAAGCTGAGTACACACTGGGATTCTGGAAGACCTTTCCCGGGAAGATGACGGTAAACCATGCCAGTTGTCATTACCCCAGCAAACAGCAGGCGTATCCCTAACAAATGTCAAATTTTCTCCTTTCCTCACTTGTTTATGATAATGTTTTAATGAGCCCTTTTCTAAGGGTGGTCAAAGGAGCACAGCAATAAGAGCTGTAGACCTCAGCACCTACACTGATTTCTAGGAGTCCTCTCTGAACACATAACACTCTTTGTTTGTTCCTGTGTTTTTCTTCATTTCCTTCGAGTGCCTTTATTAAATGTTCAGATCCTGTCTAACTTCAGGTTTAACACCAATCTAAGCTATGAGGCACAAATTCTCCTAAGTGTGATTTGTGTCTTTTTCATTTTCTCTTTGTGTGCTAACAATTCTGATGGTTCACTTATGTGTCTATGTTCAACTCCAGGATTCCTTGAGGAAGCCAGAGCGTCGGCTGCTCTGTGAGAGCAGTAACCGAGCCCTGTCTCTGCAGCATGCTGGAAGGTTTTCTGTGAACTGGTTCATTCTCTTTAACGATGCCCTAGTCCATGCCCAGGTATGCCAGATTTGTAACTTTTACTTAATTAAGCCATCAGTTTGTAATAAAAATATTGTGATTTTGCTGAAATTGTTAAATAAAAGAGAATGTTTGGGGCACCTGGGTGGCTCAGTGGGTTAAGCCTCTGCCTTCAGCTCAGGTCATGATATCAGGGTCCTGGGATTGAGCCCCATATCGGGCTCTCTGCTCAGCAAGGAGCCTGCTTCCCTCTCTGCCTGCTGCTCTGCCAACTTGTGATCTCTCTCTATCAAATAAATAAAAAAAAAAGAATGTTCAGCTTGCATTTGTGGTATGAGCCACATTTCAGGGAGCTCTTTTAGTTTCCAGCTTGAAATGAATATCAGCCATGTGAAGCGGTCCTTGTAGCAGAGATGGCAAGACCCACTGGGATTAGCTATGTTATGGGGACTGTGTGTCCGAGATGTGGCACCGATGTGGACTCAGCCATTTGAAAGGGGTTATATAGCAGAGACTCCAGGGCCCACATGAGCTTTCTCAGATATGTCTCCGTGTTCTTTCTTTCAGTTTTCCACACATCATGTTTTCCCTTTGGCTACGCTATGGGCAGAGCCACTTTCTGAAGAAGCTGGTGGTGTGTAAGTGTGTCCCCTTTCCCAGGCCCTCATCCTCATTCTCTCCCTCTGCTACCTAGGTGGTTTCCTTAGACATGAAAAAAAGCTCAGGAGTCCTCCCCATTCTGCATAATGAGGCTCACTTTCTCGGCCTATAGATCGTAAAATGGCCTGTTGGGAAGATTATAGCTGATCATAAGTGATGGAAGGGCTTCTCCATTGCTCACATCCCCATTGTGCAACACAGAGCAAATTGACTCTGTGTCCTTTCTATCTCCTACTGTGAGAACCAAACCCAGGGCATGTCTGCATTTACATTTAATTGATTTCTGCTCCTCTTGAAACAAACAAGTTGCTTTTCATATTTGAGGAGTGATACTATGACGGGTTGTCATACCTATCGGTATTTATCCTTGTGAACATTTTAGGAATGGCTTAAAGATAACTACACCCGAGGAGCAGTTCACTCTCATTTCATCAACACCCCAGGAAAAGGTTAGTCCATGATGATATTTTCTTTTGATCTTTTGGCCTGGCTACTTTTGTCTCTTATGCTAGGAAAGAAAAGATAAAAATTGTTCTTCCTTGGCTAATGATCCATAATTATCTGGTAAGTCTTCGTTAAACCAAGACTATAAGTTTGTTTTTTTGTTTTTTAATGTGACTTAATTTGGAACATCCAGCAGTGAATTCCAAGAACCAATCAGGATTACTCAATAAGAAAAGCATTAGGAGACGGAGAAATTATTCCCAGCAAGGAGAGCTATGAGGATTTAAAGCAGTGCTTGAATGAGTTATTGCCTTAAGCTTATTGACACTTACTTTTTTGTTCCTAGACTAAGTGGCTGCGGGCTATAAGCCAAGCTGTGGATCAGGCTTTGAGGGGAACATCTGATCTTCCCCCTTACGGAAGTGGCAGCGGTATTCAGAGGCAGGAACCACCCATCTCACGCAGTGCCAAATACACTTTCTACAAGGATCCTCGCCTGAAGGATGCGACCTATGATGGACGCTGGCTTTCAGGGAAGCCTCATGGCAGGTGAAAACCTTTAAGATTTATGCGTGGGGTGAAGGGATGATAGCCTGATTCGATACTGAAAAAGTACCGGTTCTCTGAAACATTCATTGATGTGTATTATTTTTTGCTTATGCTTTCCAGAGGGGTTTTGAAGTGGCCAGATGGGAAGATGTATTCTGGCATGTTCAGGAATGGCTTGGAAGATGGGTAAGAAGATTGTATAAAACATAAGAGTGAATTCAGCTTTAGCTCACTGATGATACTGTTAATGTATTAGGAGTTATTTTCAAAACAAATAGATTTTTGTTTTGTTTTTTAGAAATGCATGCAGTGTACTAGGGCTTACCATGTGGGTGTGTGATCACAAGAGGGCTTGGAATGTAGGAAGCAGCCTTGGTTTACCCGGAGTGAATCATTTACCTTGATAGCCTTGTGACCTCAAGTGACACAGCCCTTCTGTATGTTAAAGTGGGACTGTCATCTGTCCATTTCTCAATGGTGAAGACTGAGAACCTGGGTAATATTGATGGGGAACTGTTGAGATAGTAGTGCCCTTTACACAAAGGCATAGACAGATTTTCCTTTCAGTAGTTATACTTTTTTTTCCTTTCAGTAATTTTAAGTCATCTTTAATTTCTGGGATATGCTAAAGGAGAGATCTTCTACATGATGTATTATCCTAATGGTACTTAAGTGACATTATTTTTGTATAAGCTTGTCATGTTTTCTAACACAAAATATTTGCACAATAAATTATGGCAGTGAAGTATTTTATATTATGTAAGAAAAGTAATTTACTATATGAAAAAGATTACTATACAAATTGGATAGATTTTTGTGTGTGTGATGATGTAAATTTTTATAATGTCTTTTAGTCTCCTTTTAATGGAATTTTGCAATGAAAGGAGACTTTAGATAATCTCATTTACATCCCCCCGCCGCCCCCCGCAATGCATGGATGAGGGAGGTGGGTATCTGTGCTTATCCAAGGTGATGTGGCTCCTTAGTAGCAGAAAGGCTTAGGACGTAGGTTTTCTGTTTTTCACTGGAGTTAGGCTGAAACATGTCTCTGTGTAGTGGGATTGAGTCCTCACTCCTTTAAACTTGCTGGTAGCTTGGTATCGTAATAGATACATTTTAAACCAAAATCCCATTTACCCCTTTCTGCTATAGGTAGTTCTTTTTCCTGTTCTCCTTGTTAAAATGTTTACAAGTGCATCTGTAGAAAAGGTCAATATGTCCCAAATGTATCGTTTGATCCTTTTTTTCCCTCTGCGATAGATATGGAGAATACAGAATCCCAAACAAAGCATTGAACAAAGAAGACCATTATGTGGGCCATTGGAAAGAAGGAAAAATGTGTGGTCAAGGAGTCTATAGGTAATAACATTGGAAAGGTTGTTGGGCTGGTGTTGCTTTTTCAAAGACTCATTTAGACTTAAATGTTTGTGTAGCCAGAATTTCCAAGGAGTAAGTAAATTTTATTTATTCTTTTTATGACTGAAACTGTTTAAAAAATCTTATAAAGGTAACTTCTTATCTATCACAAGATGAAAATATTAGGTTATTTTTTAGTTTTCTACAAAACTGTATAAACCTTAGAAACCTTACTTTATCATAAAATCTGCTAAATGTCTTCCTTTTAAATTTATCTTATATTTATTAAACAACTCTAACATGGACAAAGCCTATCATTCTTTCAGAGATTACTCATTATTTAATTTTCCCATGAGGGATTAATGCAATTTTTCCGGGTACCTCTGTGGCTCAGTTGGTTAAGCGACTGCGTTCGGCTTAGGTCATGATCCCAGAGTCCCTGGATCGAGTTCCGCATTGGGCTTCCAGCTCCACAAGGAGTCTGCTTCTCCCTTTGACCTTCTCCCCTCTTATGCTCTCTCTCACTCTCTAATAAATAAATAAAATCTTTTAAAAAAATACACGTTTTCCCCTGTGTTAACACGGAATACCATCCATGGTGTCTAATTTCTAAGCCTCATTCATTCAGATATGAAAAATTTTGATTGGTGAAAAATAATCATATAAATAAATAATTACAGCTACCAGTGGGACATGAGTATAATTTTGAATTTCCTAAACTTTGTAAAAATGAGCATCAGAATTCAGTGTTTTTGTGATCTTTATCCATTCTTTGTAACCACAGTTATGCCTCTGGTGAAGTGTTTGAAGGCTGTTTTCAAGATAACATGCGTCATGGTCATGGTCTCCTGAGAAGTGGAAAATTGACTTCCTCTTCTCCCAGCATGTTCATTGGCCAGTGGGTAATGGATAAGAAAGCAGGATATGGTGTCTTTGATGATATCACTAGGTACAGTATTCTACTTCTAATCTCAACATTGAGTGATAAAGGATAAAATTCCTGTACTTCAGCGATGCTTTTATGAAGGCTCAGCTAAGATCTTAATTAGATAGTATTGAGACATTTTTCAGTAAGACAACACAGTTGTCAGGCATCATTTTATCCATTTGCTTATAAACCAGATAATTGGTTACTTCTTTACAAGATCAAGATCTTTCAAAATTAACCTTGGTGCCATTTTCCTAAAGCTCCACATGTACAAAGCTTTTAGTGTTACGGAGGTTACCAAATCTTTAAATATTATAAAAAGAAAAACCTTTAAAACAATCTGTAGATAATAGGAGTAAAAGGTCAGAGGCAACCAATGGAAATTCCCTTTTGGGGTCATAGGATGGCATCCAAACACCTTTCTCCTTAGGTCTTTCTTTAGGTCAGGGACTTGTTACCATGCTAGCAACCCAGCAATCAAGCTTAAATTCAATTAACTAAACTTTGGGGAGGAGTGTATTTCTTTTGCCTCCATATTTGATTTAGCCTGATTTACTTTTGGACTTACTATATATATACTTCTTTCCCCTTCATGTTATTTTTATAATGTGGGGTTTTAAAATTTAGATGTTATTACTAAACTCCATTATTTAACAAGCACTTCATACCTACTTTGTTTTTTTAGTGGAGATTAGTAAGATTTCCCTGAGTTTGAGTTTGTGAAGAATGAGACTTCTTATATGATAAACCTCATTTATTTTTTTAAGGTTAGTAGGTTTTGGAGTTTAAAAAGTATGCATGTGTTTGAGCCTGTGTATTACATTTTGAATTATTTTGAGTTGAATTCTTGGCATTCCTTTTTTCAATTATGAAGGACATACATGGAATATATGCAAACCTATGTCAGGTAGACTATATTATTAAATTCCTGAGAGAACGCTACTCTGAGTAAGACGTCTTTGTACTACGTTGTTCCATGTTTGAGGAGACACAGAGTTAAACACTTTAATCAGAAAAATGGAACAGATACTAACGAAGGGGTGATGCTTGGAATCTTCCATGTTATAACTGGTTTTTTTTTTAATCTCATCCTTATCATCAGTTTTTCATTTCATTTATTTTCTATTTCTATATAGGGGGGAAAAGTATATGGGAATGTGGCAAGATGACGTATGTCAAGGGAATGGTGTGGTAGTTACCCAGTTTGGATTATACTATGAAGGCAACTTTCACCTTAATAAAATGATGGTGAGTAGTAGAATACTTTGCTTATAGTTATTGACTTTTTAAAACTCCCATGCCCTTAACTTTTAAATCATCATTTTATTAATGTTCTACCTTCTAAGAATGGTAGTATTTTTCTTGTCTTTTAAGATTATTTAAGGCTTTGGGGGATATGGCTGTATGAACTCTTAAGTTCTTTGAGTTAGAACTCTAAGTTAGTTTTAGAGTTCTAAGTTTAGAGTTCTAAGTAACTTAGAACTCTAAGTTACTTTTAGAGTTCTTTTAAGAACTCTAAGTTACTTTGCATTTTGTCTGTTGTGATTTTTGTTTTGTTTCTTCCCATAGGGAAATGGGGTTTTACTTTCCGAAGATGATACTATATATGAGGGAGAATTTTCAGATGACTGGACTCTTAGTGGAAAGGTTGGAAACTAACTTTCTTCTTCCTCTAATATAATCTTCTACTAATTTTTCTTCGACTTTAAAAAAAAAAAGTCTACCTTACCATAAAATTCACCTGTTTTAAGAGTACATTTCAGTGACTTTTAGTAAATATAGAGTTGTACAGCTATCACCACAATCCAATTTTAGATCCTTTCACATTATCCAAAAAGATTTCTGTCACCATCTCCTGTTCATTTTCAGTCACTGTCTGTTTCTACCAGCAGTCCCAGACAACCTCTAGTGGACTTTGTAACCCTGTAGATTTGTCTTTTCAGGTCTGTCCTTTAGTGGAATCAGGCAATGTGTGGGCTCTTCTTTGTGTCTTTCTACAGTTGGAATAATGTTTTTGAGATTTTTCCATATTGTAGCCTATATAGCAGTTCATTCCTTTTTATTGCTGAGTAGTATTCTAAAGTCACATTTTGTTTATCCCTTCACCAGCTGATGGGCATGGGATTATTTCTCTATTTCTCTATATCTCTATATTTTTCTGTATTTGTCTGTATTTCTCAGACTATTAGGAATAATACTGCTATAAACATTTGAATACAACTTCTTGTTGGAGCATATGTTTTCGTTTCTCTTGGGAAAATATTTAGGAATGGAATTGCTGGGTCGTATGGTAAATTGATATTTAACATATCAAGAAGCTGCCAACTACTTTCCAGAATGGCTACATCATTTTACATTCTCATCATCAATTTATGAGGAATCTAATTTCCCCACATCTTTGCCAGTATTTTTTATTTTGTTGTTTTTTTTTTTTTTCTACAATTCTAGTAGGTGTGAAATGCTATTTCATGGTTTGGATTTACATTTTCCTAATGACTAATGATGTAGAGCATTCTGTCATGTTCTTATTAGTGATTCCTGTATCATCTTTGGTGAAACACTTCTTCAAATATTTTGACATTCTAAGAATTTGCTTATATAGTCTTTTTATAGTCTTATTGAATTTTAAGGGTTTTTATAATCTTATTGAATTGTAAGGGTTTTTTATATATTCTGGATATAAGTCCTATATCAGCTATAGGATTCACAAATTCTTACAGTCTATGGCTTTCCTTTTATTTTCTTATTAGTGCCTTTTGAAGCACAAAACTTTTTAATGAAGGCCAGTATATCAGGAAATTTTTATGAATCAGGCTTTGGATGTCATGTCTAAAAAATCTTTGCCTAACTCAAGATTATTAAGATTTTCTTCTTGGGGCGCCTGAGTGGCTCAGCTGGGTAAGTGTTCAACTCTTGGTTTTGGCTCAGGTCATGATATCAGGGTCATGAGATCAAGCCCTTTGTTGGGCTCCGCATGCTCAGTGCGGAGTCTGCTCAAGATTCTCTCTCCCTCTCTGTCTCCTTCTATCCCTCCACTGCTTGCATGCAGGAAAAAAAAAAAAAAAAGATTTTCTTCTAATAGTTCTATATTTAGGTCTATAATTCATCTTGAGTTACTTTTCTGTATGGTGTGGGTTAAATATCAAAATTGTTATTTTTGCATGTGGGTATCCAGTTGCCTCAGCAACTTTTCCCATTGAATTTTCTTGACACCTTTTTTGAAATTAAGCTCCATAAAATGTGTGGGGTGTTTTTTGTTTTTGTTTTTTGTTTTTTGTTTTTTTGGACTCTTGAATTATATTCCAGAGATCTACTTATCTCTTATTGTGCCAATACAGTACAGTACCTTGATTACTATAGATTTCTAGTAAATTATGAAATCAGGAAATGTAAGTCTTCCAACTTTGTTATTTTTAAAAATGTTTTGGCTATTCTGGATCTTTAGCCTTTCCATATTAATTTTAGGACTTGTTTCTTAATATTTGCAATAAAGCCTACTAAGAGTTTAAGAGGGATTGTGTTGAATCTGTGGATCAATTTCAAGAGAATTGCTGTTTTTAATAATATGGAATCTTCCAATCCATGAACATGGGATATGTTTTATTTAGATCTTTAATTTTTTTGTCAGCAATATTTTGTAGTTTTCAGTGTGTATCTCTTGCATTGGTTTGATTAATTTTTTCCCTAAGTGTTCTATTTTTTTTTTAAGATTTTATTTGTTTATTTGACAGACAGAGATCACAAGTAGGCAGAGAGGCAGGCAAAGAGAAAGAGGAAGGGAAGCAGGCTCTCCTCTGAGCAGAGAGCCCAATGTGGGGCTCGATCCCAGAACCCTGGGAACATGACCTGAGCCGAAGGCAGAGGCTTTAACCCATTGAGCCACCCAGGCACCCCCCTAAGTATTCTTTTTAATGCTATTGTAAAGAGAGTTGGTTTTTAATTTTATTTTTGATTATTCATTGCTATTATATAAAAATAAAATTGATTTATGTATTTTGTTCTTGTATCCTGAAACCTTGCTGAACTCATTTACTCTACTAGGAGTTTGGTGTGAAGTGTGTGTGTGTGTGTTTCTTAGGAATTCTTTTATACAGGATCATGTTGACTTAAAGACAGTTTTACTTTTTCCTTTGCAATATGGAGGATTTGTTTTGTTTTGTTTGGTCTGATTACACTGGCTAGGTTCTTCAGTAAAATGTTGAAGAGAAGTGGTAAAAGTGGATATCCTTGCCTTGTTTCCTGTTTTAGAAGAAAAGCATTAAATCTTTCACCATTAAGTATGATGTTAGCTAAAGATTTTTTGTAGATTAATCAGATTGAGATAGTTCTGTTCCTAGTTTGTTGAGAGTTTTTGTCATGAATACATCTCGGATTTTCTCAGAAAGCTTTTTCTGTGTTTGTTGAGATGGATCATGTGATGTTTGTCCTTTATTAATATGGTGTATCATATTTATTGCTTTTCTGGGATAAATCATAGTTGGTCATGATGTATAATTGTTTATTTTGCTGGGTTTAATGCTAATATTTTGTTGAGAAGATTTTTGTATCTATGAGAGATAATGGTCTATAGTTTTCTTTTCTGATGATGTCTTTGTCTGTCTTTGGTAAAACTGGCACCATAGAATGCATTGGGAAAGGTTCCCTCCTACTTTGCTTTCTAAAAGAGCTCGTGAAGTCTTGGTATTATGTCTTCTTTGAATGTTTTTGAGACCAGATGAAATCATCTGGTCTTGAGCATTATTTTGTGAGACTGTTTTTAGTTTTTAATTCAATTTCCTTCTATTCATATTTTCCACATCTTCTCAAGTCAGTTCGGTAATTTGGTTCTTTCTAGAAAATTTTCTGTTGTATCAAAGTTATCAGATTTGTTGGCATAAAGTTGTTCTCTTAGTATTGCCTTGACCTTTTTAATTTCTGTAAGACTACTGTAGTACCCCCTGTTTCATTCTTGATTTTGGAATTTCATGTCTTTTTTTTTTTTTAATTTAGTTAATGGCAATTTTGTGTATCTTTTCAAAGAAGCAAATTTCAGTTTCATTGATTTTTCTTTTAAAATCTCATTGATTTCTGCTCTATTATCTTCTTCCTTCTTGTTTTGGATTTATTTGCTCCTCTTTTTCTAATTCTGTAAGGTGGAATTTTTTTTTTAGAGATTTTATTTATTTATTAAAGAGTGAGTGAGAGGGAGAGAGAGCACAGGCTGGGGTTGTGGAGAGAGAGAGAGGTAGAGGCAGAGGGAGAAAGAGAAGCAGACTTCCTGCTGGAGCCCGATGGAGGGCTCGATCCCAGGATCCTGGGATCATGACCTGAGCTGAAGGCAGATGCTTAACCAACTGAGCCACCCAGGGACCCAAGGTGGAATTTTAGATTACTGATTTGAAGGCTTTCTTATTTTCTAAATAGACATTTATTGCTTTAAATTTGTCTTTGGGCAATTTGGGAAGTTTTGTGTTCATTTCATTCAGCTCAAAATATTTTATCTGTTTTTTCAGTGATTTTTTTTTTTTCTTTTACCCATGGATTATTTTCATACAGTCTTTTTACACATGCATGTACACATACTTTTTTTTTTTTTTTTTTAGAGTACTGGGGACCGTAGAATTAAGGGAAAACGTTAACTATTTGGTGTTTTTTTTTTCTTTTGATTTTTAAATTGGAAAGTCTTCTAAATTTGACATTTTCTTTAACTTTACCTAGGGAACACTGACTATGCCAAATGGAGATTATATTGAAGGTTATTTTAGTGGAGAATGGGGATCTGGGATAAAAATCACTGGAACCTACTTCAAGCCTAGTCTGTATGAGAGTGATAAAGACAGACCCAAAGTTTTGTGAGTAACTGGTGTTAATTGTGGATTGATCATTAAGTGTTTTGAGTTGTCTGCTTTTATCAAAGCTGGTTAATATTTTAATTACAGAACAATTTTTTTTTTAAGGCAGAAGAATTTTTAACAAAGTGTAACTTCCTTGTATTGCCAACTGCTACTGTTATAACAGAATCTATAGTCTTGGTTAGGATTATAGCCTCAGAGCATAGATGTTTAAAATAAAAGTTCTGTGTGTGGGATTAATTTTACTGCTAATGGTGCAGATACCCAAACTGATTAAAAGAGAGCATTCTTAAATGGAATCCCTACACAGCTTGATTTTGAAAAGTAAAGGCCAAGCCTATATATACTCTACACATGTGGGAAGAAAACAAGATCTATATCTCTAAGTGTATTATGTTCTGCCTCCATGTTTTTGGCACGTATCTATTCTCCTTTATTGATTCCAGCATTAGCTTTGTTTTTGTATTTTGGTAGCTTCTCCTATTCTTTGTTCTGATGGTGCTTGATATATTTTTAGAACCCAGTATTGTATAATGCATTTTACAGTTCTCATTATGAGATGGGCAAAGCATAGAAATCCTTATTTTAACAGAAATCAATTTTACAAAATCAATTATGTGGAAATGTAGACAGCAAAGGAGTCTGTTCTGATGCGCTTTGTACTTAACCATTTATCCACTTTAGTACCTAATAAACATTAAGTAGCTAAAAATCGTTCCTTTAAAATTTCCATTCAGTGTTTACAAAATCGAACCACTGCCAGTTTCTGCGGATTTGTTGCAGAAGCATCCCCAGTTGTATATGAGAAAGTTTCTGTTCTTCAGAATTTTTGCACAAAAGAAGTGATTAATAAAAGCTTGATATGACTTTATTAGCAGGAAGCTGGGAAACCTGGCAGTGTCAGCTGATGAAAAGTGGAAAGCGGTATTTGATGAATGTTGGCATCAACTGGGCTGTGAGAACCCAGGCCAAGGGGAAGTCTGGAAAGCCTGGGACAATATTGCTGTGGCCCTGACCACCAGTCGACGCCAGCACAGAGACAGGTGAGTGAATGCCTGCCCGGAAGCGTGTTAGAGGAAGTTGAAACTTAAAAAGTAGGCGAGCCTTGCCATATTTAACTTCAAAATACAATTTTAAAGTCAGTGATGTTTTTCTGTTTCTGGTAGTATAGATACAATACACCTCCCTTTATCTTCTACTGAACTTAACTATAAAACCAGGCAGAATACACGGACAGCTGTTCTGCGAAGAAAATATCAGCCAGTGTATTGAGGAAAAACACCTGAATTCCAAGTACCATCGAACCAGTTACTAGTTGTTGTTGTTTTTGTTTTAGTTGTGAATTTTTTAACTTCAGTATCCCTCAGCCTGAATTCAGTGTAACCCGAAATCTTGGCGTAAGCACTGTCGTGTATACACATAGCTCCAGAAATAACCTTCTGCTCCTGGCTCAAGATGCAAAAAAGAGACTCTTAAAGCTCAGATGAAATGGAGGAGACACACTGTGTTCTTTCTCTCTTTTTCCTTCATTTTCTCAGGCTCCAGCCTCTAGGTACTTCTGTGGCAGGGATGGCAATGGCATTTGCTAGAGCAGCCAGGAACAGGAAAAACTCTTGGGGGAGAAGAAACTTCTTCCTCTGTTAGTGGATCCCCAGGTCCAATAGTCATGGCCAAATCCCACCGTTTTTTTGGCCTCGCTCTCTGTCCTCCCACCGCTTCGCCCTCAATGTGGTACATTCACAGAAGTGGGCATTTTCCGGCCTGAGGATCTAATAGGGCTCAGAAAATGCAGGGGAGGTAACGGAGAGCAAAGAGCTCGAGAAAGCAACTCTGTAAGGTTGTTTATGAACTCCTGGATTCACCCTACACCTGCTTTGTGTGGATTTGGTCCTAATTAGCACACCAAACACTTTGAAAACTGAGCTAATAGATAGATTTCCACCCAGGTCCCAGACTACTTACTGCCCACTGAGTGGCATGCTCACAGACAGACCTAAGCAGGACTGCAGAGGCTTTGAGAAGTAAACTGACATGGAAACCACGGCCCACAGAAGGCTGAAACAAAAATGTCAGGTGTTTCAGAGGTTTCCAAGATCAACTACATGTCCAGTGATCCACTAGAGGGACTCACAAGACTCAGTCGTCCATGTAAGAGTTCCTACAGCAACTCGGCGAGGAGCTACAGCCCAATCGTAAGAGGAGACCCAGGCAGAGTATGGAGGAATCCATGTGCAAGCTTCCCATGCTCTCTTCCTTCTGGGGATGAAAAAAATGCTTGAAGAAATAATGGCTGAAAACTTCTCAAATTTGATGAAAGTGCTGATTCAAGAAGCTAATTCAAGAAGCTGATTCAAATGTGCTGATTCAAGAAGCTGAGCAAACTGCATCCTAAAAAAAGATATCCATGAACAGACACCTCATAATCAAATTGAAAGACAAAATCGGGAAAGCAGCTAGGGAAAAAAGCGGCACTTTTCTGGAGGGGAACTGCTATCTGAAGGGTCCCACAGAGCCCACTCTCTGTCCTCAGCAGTAAAATTCAGCCACACATGTATACAGTCTTTCTGCCCAGGGAAGCCCGTTAGGGACTCAGTGCCTATGGTTTTTATTGGGGGCTGGTCACATAAACACTCTGTGCTTAGCAACTGTCAGGATTCCACAGTCCCCGAAGGAAAGCCGATATTCACCGTAAATCACATTGTTAGCCTTCTTGTGTACAGCAAAATACCCTGACTAGTTAGGGAATGTTGCATGTTGCTTTAGGGGACTTTCAGGAAGCAAATCCTTCTAAAGATAATAGTTTCAAGTCTACTATGTTTATTATGCCTATCAACATTCTTTTTAAAAATATTATTTAAATTTAATTAACATATAGTATATTGGTAGTTTCAGAGATAGAGTTCAGAGGTTCAACAATTGCATATAACACCCAGTGCTCATTACATCACGTGCCCTCCTTATTACCCATCACGCAGTTATCCCATCCCCCATGCACCTCCCCTTCAGCAACCCTGTTTGTTCCCTGTAGTTAAGAGTCTTTTATGGTTTGTCTCCTCTCTGATTTCATCTTATTTTATTTTTCCCTCCCTTCCTTAGCCTGTCAATATTCTTCATAGGATAAAAACAAGACCTAAAGTGTCATAACATGATACTCAAAGATGTCCAGAATATAAACCAAAACTACTTGGCAATCAAAGAACCACCACCTCATTTTGGGAAGGACAGTCAATACATACCATGACTTCCCAACATAAATTTTGACATAATGACAAGAACTTTTTAAAGGAGCTAATATATAAATGCCCAAATGAGCAATCACAAACACACTTGAAACACCTATTAAAATTGGAAATATCAGCAAGGAAAAAGAAGTTGTAAAGAAGAACCAAATCACATTTTTAGAATTAAGAAATCTCATAATCAAAATCACTGGGTGAGCTCAGTAGCAGAATAGAGATGACAGCAGAAGAGTCAGTGAACTTGAGAATAGATGAATAGAAATGATCCAAACTGAACAACAGAAAATACATGGGACGTGGGGAGAAGGAACAGAACTTTAAGGACCTGACAGTCTAATGTTTGTGTCCTTGGAATCCCAGAAGGAGAGGAGAAAAATTATGGGGATGAAAAAAATACTTGAAGAGATAATGGTAGAAAACTTCTCAAATTTGGTGAAAGGCAAATGTGCTGATTCAAGAAGCTGAGCAAACTGCATCCACAAAGAAAGATATCCGTGAACAGACACCTCATAATCAAATTGAAAGACACAAAATCGGGAGAGCAACTGGGAAAAAAGAGGCACTACCTGGAGGGCAACTGCCATTTACGAGCCTGCATGTTTGTCATCAGCGTTCTCTGGAGACCAGGAGGAGGGTTGGCCCCGCAGCTCTGCAGTGTTGCAAGCAAGATTACAGCTCTACCTCTTCTTCCTTTCTTTTCCTTATTTTCTCCCTTGTTCTCCTTTTCTTTTTTGCTTTCCCTCCATCTGCTTTTCTGCCTGTTTCCTTATTCTTTAACTTGGCCGGAAACTCCCACAGCCCTGCTTGGCATTTGGACCCAAAGAACTTGATGATTCCTGCTGTATACAAAGGAGTTTGTTTTTTTTTCGTCCCTCCTATATTGGGGATAAACAGGAACAGATTATAGTGTTTCATTCATGAAGTTCATGATTTTTGCCTTATATTCTTTCTATTAGTAGAAGAAATGGAGACTCTTAGGATCATGAAAGCTGTGGACTCTGCCCTGCGTGTGAGGCTGATGGTCCGCCTTCACCGTTAGAGCCTGTCTGTCTAACTGCTGAGACTCTGGTCCTCTGGTTGACCTTGGTTAGCTGTTGTTGAGAGTTTCTGAGGATGGGAGTGAATGGACTGTTTTGTTTTGTTTTTAAGATTTTATTTATTTATTTGACAGAGACACAGAGAGGGAGGTAACACAAGCAGGGGTAGTGGGGGAGGGAGAAGCAGGCTTCCCGCTGAGCAGGGAGCCCAATGCGGGGCTCGATCCCAGGACCCTGTGATCATGATCTGAGGCAAACGCAGATGCTTAATCACTGAGCCACCCAGACGCCCCTGAATGAACTTTTATATAATAAAACATGTTGCAACCACAGAGGGCTTGTTTATCTAAAATAGGATAATAATAACAATTGCAAACCATTTTTAATTGGCTGTAATCTAATAATAGAATACCATTACCAAAAATGTCTCTTGATTACTGAGTATGTGTTTTACCGTGGCCTCTTCATCCAAAGCTTCCCTTTACCCATTATGTGCTTACCTTACCACCCTTATAGCGTCCTCATTATCTCCTTGCTTGAGCTCATTTCCCTTCTTCCTCTGCCCTTTCATGTGTTTTTGTTTTTGTTTTTTTAAGATTTTATTTATTTATTTGACAGGCAGAGATCACAAGTAGGCAGAGAGGCAGGCAGAGAGAAAGAGGGGGAAGCAGGCTCCCTGATGAGCAGAGAGCCCGATGCGGGGCTCAATCCCTGGACCCTGGGATCATGACCTGAGCCAAGGGCAGAGGCTTTAACCCACTGAGCCACCCAGGCGCCCCGCCCTTTCATATGTTTTTGTTTTTCCTCACTACTTTCTCTTCCATTTTTCTCTTGTCACTAACAAGTCCGTCACCAGTTTTCTGTTCAGGCTAACATTATAGTACCTCCTGACACCATCATTGATACTGAAGCAAAATCCTCATTAATTAATTGTAGTTGGTATGAAGTAACATTAAATGACACTGGAATGATGGTTAGAAAAATCTACTAGCAGGTCAGTTACCAGTCATGAGCTCATTTGGGCCAAACACTGCTGGGCAGTCCATTTCCTCCTTATTTGATGACAGTGTTTCATGTGCACTTTACAGTTGCCTTGTTTTTCTGATTTGAAATACATAATGGGCTTTCTTTTGCTTTTTTACAGTCCAGAGACATTAAGTCGTTCGCAGACTCAGACACTGGAGAGTTTGGAATTCATTCCTCAGCATGTTGGGGCCTTCTCTGTGGAGAAATATGATGACATCAAGAAATATTTAATAAAGGTAGAGTCAAAATTACAGTGGTCTTGTGAATGAATGACATAGCTACTACAGTGTATCATTCCAGTGCGCTCAAGCTTATTGGTACTCTGATCCTATCTTTGCTTTCTAGGTATTCCCTTTGTTAATTGTCTGACTACTAAAAGCACATTTCCACATGAATATTGTCCTATCGTGATGATAGAACTTTTTTAAGTTTTGTGAAGTGCTCAAGGGAGTTCTTGAGAACAAGGATCAAAGTTTAAAATGGCTTTTTGTTAGTAACATGAGCAGACTAGAGGTTGAATAATTCATGTTGCCCTCACCCCATGGTTATGCTCTTTGTGTCCTTCTCAAACCTCATAAGATTAGCGACACTTTAAAGCATGACGTGCATTGATATGGGGTTGCAGGAAGCAGTATCAAGGGAACTGGAGAGTGACAATATTGGAGCATAATCAACTGTCAAGTAGTTGTAATTATATCAATATATAATATATATTATATAAATATAATTAAGCTATAAACTTCACAAAAAAATTGGAGAGGTTACCTTTGAGCAATTTTTTTTTGTGAAGTTTATAGCTTAATTATATTTATCAGTATATCCAGAGCTATTTTCCAAGATGCCAAAAGGATTCTTTGATTAAGATTAGAAACTCCTACTCCATGTAATTTGGGTAGACTCAACACTTTCAGAAAAGTTGAAGTATTTGAATTTTCCCGATCCAAAAGTTGACTCCTGCCGTTTTGAAAGTTGTTTATCATTTATGAAATTGTTTTATTATTTATTGGTTGATTGTTTCTGCTGTTAGTCCTTGACTGACTTCGGTGATCCTCTTCCTGTTCAGGCCTGTGACACTCCTTTGCACCCCCTGGGCAGGCTTGTGGAGACCCTGGTTGCAGTTTACAGAATGACATACGTGGGTGTGGGAGCCAATCGTAGGTTATTGCAGGAGGCTGTGAAGGAGATCAAGTCTTACCTTAAGCGAATTTTCCAGCTGGTGAGGTAAGAGATCCTTCTCGCTGAAGTCCGCAAGCTGTGAAACACTGCTTTATACTGACGCTTAGGTGTCTTCGTCCTAAGTCTAGAGATTTACAGCTTTGTGAAGAATCATTACGGTTTCTCCTCCTTGAAGAAATTATTCATCAAGAAAATGGTTTTTGTGCCACAAATTCTTAAATAGATTAAACAACAAAAAACATGTTTTTTACTTTATGCAATAAACACAGGAAAGGAAACCATCAACAAAACAAAAAAGGCAACCTACTGAGTGGGAGAAGGTATTGGCAAATGATATATCTGATAATGATTTGGTTAATATCCAAAATATATAAAGAACTTACTCAACACTAAAAAAAAACCAACAACAACGCAAAACCACTAATAATCTGATTTAAAATGGACACAGGACCAGAATAGATAATTTCCCAAAGGAGAGATACAGACGGTCGCCAGATACCTGAAAGAATGCCTAACATCACTAATCATCAGGGAACTATGTGTGTTCTCATAGGCTTCCATTCTAGCAGGACAGACTAAATAAAATATGTAGTGTGTCATGGGATGGTAAATGTGGCAAAAGATGGGGCTGGAGGTAAGAGGCTGCTGTTTTAAATAGAAGGTCCAGGAGACCTGCCTAATGTACTATCTGAGCAGAGACTTGAAAAGAGGTGAGAAAGCAAGCAGTAGAGTATCTTTGGAAAGAAAGTTTAGGTAGGAAATTTGAACTTGTGAAATTTAAGATCTTTTACTGGGGTTAAGCCAACATGTAAATACTATAATGAGGTCATTATACAAAAATTTATGAATTTTCCAGGAAAACTTCTTTATATTATTAACTTCAAAATTGATAGATGCATTTGGAACTGTCTTCAGTTTTGAGGGGGCAGTGTAATCCTCTAAAAGACCACTGGCTGGGAGTGTTTCAGCTCTGACGTTACTTAGAGGAGTATAATGAAGATAAGTTTTCTGACTTTTGTTTTAGTTTTTCCAACTATAAAATTAGGGGCAGAGACAGGGGTGAGGTATAAGTCTACAAAAATAGAAAAGATTGCAAGCTCCCTTTAAAGAGTCAAGGTTTGTGTCTAAAAGAGGACCATGAACTTTTTTATAGTAGACCCCACCATTTGCATATGAGGTCAGAGATAAAGTCTAGGGCAAATTGAAAACTTAGGGGAAAAAATCCTCAGTAACCTATCATCCTGATAATTTAGAAAAATATTTTTTAGCAACTTGAATTTTTGTTTTAAAGATTTTATTGAGAGAGAGCGAGAGAGCAGGGAGAGTGGCAGTGGGGGAGGGAGAGGGACAAGTTAACTCTGCGCTCAGAGCCGAGACCAAGGTGGGGCTCCGTCTCATGACCCGGAGATCATGACTGGAGCCTAAACCAAGAGTCAGCCATTTCAGCCACTGAGCCACCCAGACGCCGCAGCAACTTGAATTAAAAAAAAAAATTTTTTTTAATTTTACATTGATTAGATTTTCAGTTTTTCTTAGTGTTGAATATTTAAGTAGTTTCCAACTAATTGTTTGTGCTGTGAGAATAATGGTCTCTGCTTGAAGAGTCAATACAGATTGACCTCAGATGAAATTTGCCAGTAAGAAAAACACAGAGATAAGAATTTCTCACTCTTTAATAACCAGACAGAGAACAAAAAAAGCACATGATTTTTTAGTGGTATTATTATTCATTAGCTACACTCTTAATTTTATCCTGTAATTACAGAGAATCAGTTAAGAATCTTAGGGAACTAAAAAATTTAGTTGATTTAAAGTTTGATTGCATAGATCCTTTAAATAGATGAAATAATAGAAATGCATAAAAATGCATTTTACTCCTTTTAACCATTCTCGAGGTACAACATTTTATAATCGTATTTTCTGTTATTCCTTAGATTCTTGTTTCCTGAGCTTCCCGAAGAGGGCAGCACAATTCCTCTCTCTGCCCCTTTGCCAACGGAGAGGAAATCCTTTTGCACTGGCAAGTCAGACTCCAGATCCGAGTCGCCAGAGCCAGGGTAAATGGAGTTGGGTAGAGATAGTGAAGAGGGTGGGTGGTCCTAGCCAAAGAATCCCAAGGAGGGGTGCCTGGATGTCTCATTCGTTAAGCATCTGCCTTTGGCTCAGGTCATGCTCCCAGGGTCCTAGGATCAAGCCCCAGATTGGGCTCCCTGCTCAGTAGGAAGCCTGCTTCTCCCTCTGCCCCACCCCCCCAGCTTATGTTCCCTCTCTTCCTGTCTCTCTGTCTGTCAAATAAATAAATAAAATATTTTAAAACCAACTATACAAACAAAGAATCCCATGGAAAAGTTTTCTCTTGATCTCAGTTTCCTTATTTTTAAAATAATGTGTTTGGGCTAGATCCCTTTTAGGTTGTATTATATTGTATTAGCCAAACCCCACGGAAGCACAGTCCCAGATGACTGGGTGCAAAGACTGCTGAGCAAAGTGACGTCACGCTGATCTAGAATAACCACAGGGAATCATTTTCAAAATGGAACCAACTAGATTTTCAGTTAGATTTTGAGTTAATGAGAGGTATTCACAGTTGGTCCAAGATAAAACTCTGGGCCCATATAGGTAAGGTCCTCATGTTAGCTCCAAATATGAAAGTAGAATAATGTTATAACTATTTCTTTTCTTTTTTTTTTAATTTAAATTTTTAAATTTTTTTATAAACATATAACGTATTTTTATCCCCAGGGGCACAGGTCTGTGAATCGCCAGGTTTACACACTTCACAGCACTCAGCATAGCACATATCCTCCCCAATGTCCATATCTTTCTTTTTTTTTTTTTTTTTAAAGAGAGAAAGTAGGGGGACTGGGGGGAGAGAGAATCTTAAGCTGACTTGCTGCTGAGCACAGAGCCCAACTCGAGGCTGAATTTCACCAACCCTGACATCCTGACCTGAGCCAAAATCGAGTCGACCCTTAACTGACTAAGGCGCCCAGGTGCCCCTCTTACAACTGTGTCTTTACTCGAATGTCCCATCTTTACTTTCAGCTCTAGAAACTGAAGCTCTTTGATTCTGTATTCCATTTTTTTTTTTTTTTAAGATTTTATTTGTTTGTCAGAGAGAGAGAGGGAGAGCGAGCGAGCACAGGCAGACAGAATGGCAGGCAGAGGCAGAGGGAGAAGCAGGCTCCCCGCCCAGCAAGGAGCCCGATGTGGGACTCGATCCCAGGACGCTGGGATCATGACCTGAGCCGAAGGCAGCTGCTTAACCAGCCGAGCCACCCAGGCGTCCCTCTATTCCATTTTAATACGAATGCTTCTCCAATGTTTTGTAGTTATGTGGTAACAAGTTCTGGGTTATTGCTTCCCGTACTGCTGCCTCGGCTCTACCCACCACTGTTCATGCTCTATGCCCTGGATAACGATCGCGAGGAGGACATTTACTGGGAATGTGTTCTGCGGCTGAATAAGCAGCCAGATATTGCTCTTCTGGGCTTCCTTGGGGTACAGAGGTAAGTACAATAGTTAGGACTAGAATCAAGTGGTTTTCATTTAAAATGCAAACAGCATTATCAAGAATTTGGTGTTAACTACCCAATGGAATATACGATTTGCAGTTTCTTCCCTTAGTTGCGTATCTATTATTCAGCAAAATAGTGATATTTAATCTTTACTTTTGAGAATTTTTAGAGTGGAGTGTAAAACTTTGTTATTCTTCTGAATGTGTGTTGTATTTGTATGTGTGCGTGTGTATAAAATACGTGTGTGTATATAAATTTTACCTATCCTATTTGCAGTCCTTAAAACAGAATACATACGTTTACAGTTTCAGAAAAAATTCATTATATTTTGTCTTTGACATTCTTCCTTTCCTTCTCTTTCTTTCCTCCCCATCTCCAGTTTCTAATTTAAAAGTTTTAGAAGTGCTCTTTGTTGTGGAGCATTGTTTCTTGTTATTCCAAGGGAACACATTATGCTATTTTCTTAGTGCTGTGATGAGGCTGGTCACCCCACACCCAGTAACTATGCATATGTGCAATCAAAAATGACCAAGCCTTAATCAGAAAGTGAATTTTTTTCAGCAGGATAATTTGACAGTAAAAATACAGTAAAACTGAGTGAAGGAAAGACTGGCTAACTTGGTAGTATCCATAATGTATGGGGGAATTGTAGTACATTGACAGATCCCTTAGGAACATGATAGGAACTCTTAAATTATTTCTGGAATGTTTATTAAAACTATATCTGTGGAACAGTTATTTTAAATGGGGACAGGGAAGGCAGTATAGCCATCAGCTTTTTTTAATGGGTATTAAACTATCATAAGTAACAACTTACACTAACAGTGTCTGGATTCCGTTTTAGGAAATTCTGGCCTGCAACCTTGTCAATCCTTGGAGAAAGTAAAAAGGTATAGTAAATTATAGTAAATTTTAATTTCCTCAGTAAATATGTTTTTCTTTGATGTGGGATATTGAAAATAATAAAACATTTCCATTTTACTTTGATAGAATGGTAGCTAAGCATGAATTATTCACCGAAGAACCACACCTTGCTACCAGTGTCATTTAATTTTTGTTGTTACTGTGGAAGACAGTTTTCCTCTCTGACCTTCGTAAATTCTCTTTTTTGCAGGTTTTGCCAACTACAAAAGATGCTTGTTTTGCCTCAGCTGTAGAATGTCTACAGCAGATCAGGTAATTGCTGATTTGTTGAAAAATCACACAAATCAAAGGAATAGTCTATTAAGATACTAATGAGGTCTTATCTTTACCTAAGCTCTAAATGCCCCCTTCACTCCTAGAAGGTGTCACACTCAGCCTGGAGATCAGAAAAGGCTCTCTTGAGACATTTGGCTTACCTTTTACTCTACAAGGTCATTGTGTTTTCAAAAGAGGTAGAGCGCCTACCCCAAAATGTATCTACGTAATCACATCTTTAGCCAAATGGAAATGAACCAAACTTTATTACTCAGAGAAGTGTTAGGAGAATAATGTCCTGCATGGTTAAAGGGGGTGATCTTACAATTCGGTAAGATCATAGAGAGTTGGAGGTGCCCTTTCTCAGAGAACCGAGGGATTACCGTGGCCATCCCTTCCAGCAACTCACTATGCCTCATGTGTGCAACTTAACACACCTAAGCCCCAGGAGGGCTTATTGTCAAGCAATTAATATTTAATATTAAACAGTTCTATTAAGAAAAGTTACAGGATTTTTTTTTTTTTTTTTTTTTAAATAACAACAGCACAACATTTACCCCATCAGACAAACTTAAGGTCATCCAGCAAACTTTTGAAGAGATCTCTCAGAGTGTGCTGGCATCACTTCAGGAAGACTTCTTGTGGTCCATGGATGACTTGTTTCCTGTTTTCTTATATGTGGTGCTACGGGCCAGGTGACCAACCTTTTCTGACTTGATTATTAGGGACTCGTTATTTTAATAAGTGTTTTTCTGAATTGATGAGCCATTTCTCTTACCCATTCCACTGTGGTGAGCTGTTCTTTATTTTCCCTTATGTATATTCAGAAGGAGGACGTACATATTAACAGAAATAATTCAGTGTCTTTTTCTCATTGGGGCAGGATTAGGAATTTAGGCTCTGAAGTACACCTCATTGAGGATCTAATGGACCCATATCTTCAGCATGGGGAACAGGGAATAATGTTCACCACCCTGAAGGTAAGTATAGGTAGTATTTAATTTTTTTTTATCTTAAAGTCTGTCCTTAATTTACCATATTATAAATCTGTGATTAACTACTATCATCTTTATACAGAGGTTTAATGCAAACATTAAATGCCTTTAGAGCACATATTGTTAATTATTTTAATATATAATAAAAGTAGAATCAGTTAGTTATTCTTCAGAATACTAAAGCAAATTAGCCAATCCTCCCTATAAACTGATAAAGCAAATCATTAGAAATGCTTATAACGAGAGACCATCTATGTAAATGTTAACTCTAGAAAAGAAGCAGAAAGGATTCGTAGTGTCCAAAAAAGTCTCCAACACTAGAGCTATTTAACAGAAATGAGGTAACACAGAGAAGGCAGTACGTATATAATGAATGTGAATTGCATCTTTTTTCTCCATGAATTTACTGTAACCAGTGTGTTACAGATGAGGTTCTGTAATCTGAGTACTCTCTAGGGATTGTTGCAAGTCATTGTATTTCCTCGCCTTGACTTTTCTTAGAATTTTAGAATACTTCTGCAGTATATTGGAAGAACAACAAATAGAAAGTGGCATAAACACTCCTGAAAGAAAAGGAGAATAAACTGACTCTGCCAATTAGTAAAATAGAAAATTACAATAATTAAGATAGTATGTTACTGTCACAAGAATGGGCATTACCCCTAACAGAAGGGATAGCCCTCACAAGGGCAGTGTTACAATAAGAATTTCACATGTGAAATTGGAAACATCAAACACAAAAATGGAAAAGAGGAATTATTTAATAAATGGTTAATGTATTGGGATAGCTTATTAAATGTTTTGGAGGGAGGGTGGAATCAGGGTAACATCACCCCCATTGTTAGTTGCAGATGCTTTGGAGAATTTAAGTGTAGAGAAAAGAAGAGAGGAGAGACAGGCAAATTAAGATGAGAAAAAATCCTAGAATTTAATGTCAGTAGGGCTTGGCTTGGTTGTTTGAACTTTTCCACTGAAATATCACTAACATTTTCCATTAAATAGACTGAAAAAGGTAGAGAAACTGGGGGAAATATTGCCCACCTAGAACTTAAATTTTTAGTTTTTATGTTATAAGAAGAGTTTCTCTCAACATATCTGCAAGGGAGAAACAACTGATACGTTTATATGTAGGAAAATGTTCAAACTTACTGAAAATTACAGTACTGCAGATTTAAGCAAGTTGGCATTTTGTGCCTACTAAAATAGCAAGGATCTTTTAAAATTATAGCCAGTTATAGCCAGTGCTGGTATAGAGGTATAGTGAATTCAGGAATGTGCCCATATTGCTGGGTATATTGGGTTATATAGCAGTTACCCTTTTAGAAAACTGTTGTTAATATTGATATCATCAATATCAAAAATGTTCTTGGGGCTTGAGTAATCCAGCTCCTGGAGATTTATCCCGAGAAATTGAGGAATTGAAAACATACATGGTTTGGCTGAGGTGTTCTTTGTAGCGTGAGTAACTTCCAAACTTGGATACTTTCAGGATCACCTGGGAATGCTTCTCAAAAATTCATTCCTGGGACATTTGGATAGCTCAGTTAGTTGGGTGACTGCCCTCGGCTCAGGTCATGATCCTAGAGTTCCAGGATCGAGTCCTGCATCAGGCACCTGCTCAGTGGGGAATCTGCTTCTCCCTCTGACCTTCCCCCATGTCATTCATTCTCTTTCTCTCTCTCTTTCCCTCTGTCAAATAAATAAAATCTTAAAAAACCAAATTCATTCCTGGAAATTCTGACTCACTGATGCTTACTCTTGATTTGTAGTTTCCTAAACATACTAGATGATTCCAGTTACAGTTGTTTGTATACCTTATAATGCTCAGCTTGTATACCTTATATATTCTAAATGTCCACTCAGTAGTGGCTTAGCAATTAAGGTATTTCTACTTAGTGAAGAATATTAAACAGCTTCTAAAAAGCTTGTTTATTTTAGAAGTAGAAGAAAGTGTGCAAAATCCTCTCTCTACAAATTTACAAGTAGGCCGAAGAGACAGTGGATAGGGGAACTGGGAGTAAGCAGGGAAAAATAAAGCACCTAACTGATTTTGTTGGAGCTTTCGGTATTAATCAGACATTTCCTTTCTTTTGTCTCCTGTGCATTGCTGTGTTTATGTGGTTTCTTTACAAGTAAATTTTAAATGGTTTTAAACTTTTTTTTCCAGGCATGTTATTACCAGATCCAGCGTGAGAAGCTTAACTAGGATGCACGACAGCTTGCCAACTGGATTATCTGTAGGAAGTTTTAGCACCATCTGGCGTCTTCCCGAAGCAGCGAAAACGAATGGTGTTGAAATTAGGACGTTGTGTTATTTTGGTGGTTATTTCTGAGCCTTACTAATGATGATAGCCCTGCGCCCAGAAAAAAAAAAAGACTGTATGACTCAAAGAGAGGGTTGGAACGCAGATCAAATTCAATTAAACCAGTCCCTGGCCTATGTTAAATCCCCCAGATATCACACATTTCCTGTTCGGAAAACGAGGACATCCCTTCCTACAGTAAAGAGAATGCCAGCTACCTGAAGTTGTAAGAAGAGTTCCCAGTATAGCTTCTTACATTAAAGAAGTTAATAAATTGTTTTGAGTTCCGGGTTTGCCTGCGGTTACCCCAGACCCTTTGCAAGGAGCCGATTGTACTTGAAACTGTAGTCGCCACACTATGCCTTCCTGAGTCCCTTGCAGTCACGTGTGCATCGTGCTTCTTGGCTGAGGGAGGGGAAAGAGGACCTTCTCGAACTGCAGTTTTAACTTTTTCTAAGCTTTTCCACCAGGGTATTCATGACGGGAGAGGTTCTATGCCGTGACGACCGCAGCCCGACCCCCACCATGGAACATCTAAACAGGAGTCTTCTGCCTCCCTACTAGAAAGAACGTAGGAGTTTTGTTCTTGGATTCCTTTTAGTGCTGCAGAGTGAACACACTGGAATTCACACACTGACCCCGAGCTGCTGGGGCCCCTCCCTCGTCCGGGTGCAAGTGCTGTATCGCGGGGCCCGTGAATGAGAGCCCGAGGAGCTTGTGCATGTGGGCTGTGTTTTGGCGCAGGACGAAATTCCGGGAAATTCCGAAGCAGGGGACTGCATCCATCCCTGGCCTGGCGTTCTGCTTCTTCCCTGTACCTCGCACTGAACTCACAGAGGGGAAGAAGAAGGAAACAAGCTTTGGCTTTTCCCAGCTCAAAAGTATTGTAACACCTCAACATTTTAGTGTTTTGCCTTTCACCTTTTTTTTTTTTATGTCCTATTGTGAATGGTTGGTTTACACTGTACAAGTAACACTAGGAGCTGTTTTGAATAACACAGGTGCTCTTCCTCATCTCACCTCCTGCACACCGTGGGGAGCATATGGAGTGTCCTCCAGATTTACGTTAACATCAGCAGGTGTTAATCAATTTTAAAAAAGGATCATGATTTCTGCTCTACTTTATAATCAAGACATGTTTATTAAAAATACTGTTTCGGAATGTTGGCTGTAATGTAACAGCGATTTTCATAATAAAAGACATTCATCTCAATGAGGTTGTTTTATGACTATGTAAGAAACGACTCAGGGGCAGCTTAGAAATTTAAAAGAAATCCAGACTTAGTATTTTTTGTTTGTTTGTTTTGTTTTGTTTTTACTTATTTATTTTTTGCCTGAAGTGTAATCAGTGCCTCTTCATATTGGCCTCAGAGGTCCCTCTGGCATTTTAGAGATCTCTGTCTTTAAAATAAACATAAATTCATAATTAGAGCCCCTTTGCTGACAAATTGACTTTCTGATCCTAATACCCCAAGGACAGGGGTCTTAAATCTATTATTTCTTTGAATAAAAGGCATATTTTCATAGTCACTGTTTTTTTGTTTTGTTTTGTTTTTTTCTCCTGAACAGATTCAGGGAAGGGAAGAGTGAGGGTTTAAAATTATCATTGGACTTACTACATTACATTAGTTAGCTATTTCCCAGCTATGTCTTCTCAAGAAGGCTTTCCATGTCACCACTGCTCTCTACCAGAAGGTGGCTCCCCATTATAGGAAAGGAACCAACATTCGATTAGTTTATGTTAAACACCTTGCATTTCCATTAGAGATTCTTTTGATTTTAGGATAAACACAGATTCCACATTTTGGTTTTAAAGGCAAATTTACCGAATGTCTTGGATCCCTTGAGAGAGAGAGACAAGGACAGTTCTAGAAATGAATGAAGAAAGACTTGAGACCCACGAAGAAATTCTCAAATGATGGTAGACTGTCTCAGTCCTAAGAAAATCATATTTTAACTCATCCTTTTTTTGGAGGTTTGAATGGAACTTTCCAGTTACTTTAGGTCTTGATACTGTTATTTATACCTTTCAGATAGCATAGCAAAACCATAAATTTTCAAGTTCTAAATCTAAATCTCCAGGCCACTGTCTTTAAACAGAAATTCCTAGCTCTCATGCAACGGGTTACAGATCTTTCATATGTGTGGTGAATGCTGAGAGTAGCCCTGAGGGGTGGGTATTAACCCCACTGATGTTGTAGACACGGACGGTGGCTGGGATTTGCTCACTGTTTGAGCTGGGACTCTTAACAGAGAATTTCTCTAACTCTAATTCCAGCGCTCTTTCCCACCACTGTTGCCAGAGATGCCACTTCGAAGCTGGGTTATGTGTTAGAGCATAGAGTAGGGGCACCTGGGCAGCTCAGTCGTTCGGGCAGACTCTTGATTTCTGCTCAGCGCATGCTCTCAGGGTTGTGAGATCCAGCCCTACATCTCAGCAGGGAGTCTCCTGAGACACCCTGTCTCTTGCCCTCCGCTCCTACCCCTGCTCACACACACTCATGAATGCACTCTCTCTCAAATCCTTTTTTTTTTTTTTTTAAAGATTGTAAGGTAAAAAATGAGTTGAAAATGGAAACTTTTTTTTTTTAAGATTTTATTTATTTGACAGAGACACAGCAAGAGAAGGAACACAAGCAGGGCGAGTGGGAGAGGGAGAAGCAGGCTTCCCGAGAAGCAGGGAGCCTGCTGCAGGGCTCGATCCCAGGACCCTGGGATCATAACCTGAGTAGAAGTCAGACACTTAATGATTGAGCCACCCAGGCACCCGGAAATGAGAACTTTTAATAACATTAGGTGTTTATGGTGAGATATGGTGTGCTCAAAATAGTCACCAATCTATCATAGTCCCAGCGTCCATTTTCATCAACAGTGGAAAGCAAAGAAAACCCATCTGTTTAATTTCAAGTAAATGGACAGATAAACCTCTGACTAGCCATTTTGTCTTTATTCTGCTCTGCCCTGCTGTGAGCAGAACCCTTTAGTTTTATTCTAGGTTATCTACTTCCCAGTGTGCTTCCCACCGACTTGCACTTCTGTGTGTCGCTGCAATATAAAATTTTCAAATAAGTAACTCTAATCTGAGAGAATCGGTATTAAGTTGACAGTCACTTGGTAGGGAACCTTCCAGAAGGAACTGTTTTTTACAGGCCTCATTATTATTGGCCCAAGGGTCTTCCATCATATTCTCATAACATGAGACAATAAGGTTAAGAGGTCTGCTTACTCTCTGGTGTCTCTGGTTTTTCCTTCATTAAAAATGCTGTCATCTGTTGGGTGTATGTTATTGTGGAGTGGTCAACAAAAATAATGTTTGTCGTGGTTAACCATGTGGTGACATTTTGAGAGAAAATACCACAGCGACGACTGAAAATGATATAAATTGGACTTCTCAGTGTGAGGAATACTTAAGATTTGTGGCAGGGGAAGCTTATGAGTATCTTAGTGGTTAGGCTGGGTTAGGCTTCTGTGGATTAAATCAAAGAGGATGTGCAGAGATTTTGTCTAGAACAGTGAGGTGACTTTGGCAGCTAATAGCCCACTAGTATTTTCTACCAAAGCTTTTCTCTGGATCGGAGTAACATTGTGTGTTTGCGGTCTTGCAGGTAAGAGACTCTACCAAAAGATCCTCAGTTACCAGAAGAGATCTATAAATGTCTGTGCTTCTGTGAATTTTTAAAATAGCTACAGATAAAATTCTGGGTAATTTAATTTAAATGGTTTAGTTTCACTGTAACCCAAATCATATGGAGAATTCTGTGATTTTCAAAGAGCAGGTTTTGCTTTGGGAAACTGTTTCTTAAGGATGGAATAATGCGTTGTCGTGCAGACTAAGTAAAACTGAGCGTTTACCCAGAGGAAGCTGGGCTATTTTTATATGGGCATTAAGTTTTCAAGTGCTTTTTCAGGCTTTGTCTAGTAGGAAGCATTGTTTTGAAAAATGAGCTCAATAGGGGTAAGGGGAATGGCATTTAATAGTAATTGCTGCATTTTAATAAGTTCATGGAAATACTGATTTTTAAAGTAATATTTAGGACAAATTCCTCATGAGTCCATAACACTAATGCAGCTTCTCAGTGAATAAGAACCGGTGACCCTTCCTCTCTTACTTAATTAGTCCAGAGTCGCATGTAGTTTTATGTCTACCTGCAGCCTCTATCGTGACTTCTCCTCATGACAGCAGAAACAGGTAAGTTCTAACTGACAACCTTGGTCCAAAAGGCAAGGAAGAGCGATTATAGTCCTTTGCCAGGCATTTGTCAGGGCTAGTCCCAGAAACAAGAGGAAAACTTTTGATTTTGCTACTTGTTAACTATACCGAATACCTCTTTGGATGTCCATTTCCGTGTCTGAAAAATGAAAGTTTTTCAAAGTTTGATAGGGAAAGAGGTTGAAGTCAATATAACCAGGCTGAGGTAGAGAGGAAGGGCACAGGCCTCTGGTATCCCCAACTCCCACCTGAGGACTGACGTCCGAGCTGCTCTTGACCTCCATGGGGAAGTATCAGCTTCTGACTTTCATATTTCGGCCTCCCATTTTTCCACCCCTTCTCAATGACTGGAAATACAGCTCAGACCCTGCTACACATGCTGAGGCTTCAGCAGTGAACTGGAGAGCATGGGGTCCGCCTTCCAGAACTTCTGCAGACATGACCCACACAGAAGCCGGGCCCCGAACAGGTTAATGCAGATGAGAATTGTGAAGCAGATTGTGAACCGAAGCATCACAGTAGTTTTCAGAGATACCCGGGGAGCGGGGAAAACCATTTTCCTAGTTTCCTTCTAAACTTCTTGTCTTGCCTTGGGCTAATACCAGGGGCTCAGTGACTTAAACAACAGAGGTTTTCTTTTCCCCCCACAGTTCCAGAGGCTGGTACGATTAGGGTATGAGCATGGGCGGTTCTGGTGCCATCCTTCTTCCTAGCTCAAAGAGACTCCTCCTCACTCTGTCTTCATCTGGCAGAGACATTGATGGAGACAGGCTCTCTGACGTCTCTGCTTACAAGGGCATTAATGCCATCATGGGGACCCCACTGTCGTGGCCTCATCTCTGCCTCCTATCCTCCAAAGGTTCCATCTCCAAATACCAGCACAGTGGGGTTAG